TTTTTTTGTATCAAGATGGAGTAGTAGAAAGCCAAAAACTTTCTTGAAAACATGAAAAGGAATACAAACATATTCAATTTTCATTTAAATATCTATGTTAAAATGAAAATTCCTGTAGGATTGTAAATGAATAATAATAATAATAGATAGCATTCAACACTAAGATAGCCAACATCAATATTTCAACATAATTGCAGTTGTTGAATGTCCTGAAAATTTTGCTTATCGAAGAATTATCATTTGAATTGGTTTTTGCTATGAGCGATATCAAAAATCATGGAGAACCAGTTTTTTACAAGTTTGAAACAAAAAACTGCTCCGCTATCTTCCTCGAAAAATCTCCCATAATGTACCCCCTTCTACGCCTGTGGAAATGAGTGAATCCCTATAAAAGGCAAAACTTCATCGCGAAAATGGCGAGTCACCTTTTTGCGCTTGCAGCTTTTCTATAGGCGCAACAAGTTGGATTTTGTTTGATACAGTTTTACGTTCGTTTTTGTTGTATACAGTGACAGAATGTGTAACAATTCAGGCCGTAAGGAACTCATGATCAAAATCATGGCAATCGTTTCCCTTTTTTGTTTGGCTGAAGGGGCTTCTGGTGAGTTTTTTCAAAATATCTGTCTAATATTTGATATATTAAGTAAGAAGTTGTTTCTTCAGTTGTGAAAATACCCAATTCAAAAAACTGAATCGGTCGAAAATGCGAAGAAAACAGGTCATTTTGAACTGTGTTGTATACTTCTCAAATCTGACTGAGGAATCACAAATTTGAGGTAATTTTTGATACAGTTTTGGACGGCACTGAATACGAATGGGTGGGTAAATAATTCAAGCTGTCAATACTTTACTTTTTTTTCAATTACTTTTACATAAATCTCAAAAGTTTCATTCTGAACTATCTGTATCTTGACTATATCCAAATTGATATAGATTACATCTAATGACATAAAACTTGGAGGTTCATAACATACTGAACCATAATTTCGAAAATATTTTTGATAATAACAAAAAAATTTTCATAACTTTTCTTTCCTTGACGAAATTCGTAAACTTTACAAACTTTTTCTCTAACAAATTCTTTTTTCTGAAAACCATCCATTGTATCGTACCTTTCGTAACTAATTATAGAATTACTACGAAAAAAATGTGTTTTCGATATTTGAAACGTGAAAAATAGATTTTTCAAAAAGCAGTTATCTAAAACAGTTGTACAGGTTTCCCCTCCAAAACAGTCGTTGGCATATTATATTTTTAAATTACATCATGCTTAAATATAAGGATTCGAAAAACCTGGGTATATATTTTTAGAATTACCCTGATGACTGCGTATAACAAAAAAATTGTACAATTACATTCGGTTGTTAATATTCTCAGTTGAATTATTGGCAAAGGGTTCTCCAAGAAGCGGTAACCACGAAGCAACAATGAAACATGAATAGAGATTTTGTGTAATAATTCATATAAATGTTTCAAAGTTACATTGTCTTCTGACTTCAGCATACTGGATTATTTTTTGAGAGTTCAGTGAAGCATTTTGTGAATGAGATAGATCTCAAATCAAAATATCCAACAAATATTCGACAGTGTCAATCAATAAATTATGTAGATTCAAGGAATTTTGAGGGAGATGCGACTAAATGGTCATTGGAGAATCCTTATTGTAAGATATGTTCCTCCCATACGTTTCAATTATATTTCAACAACAAAAAAATGGAAAATTTTCACAAACAAATATGAAGAATAATAAATTTATATAAGGAAATTGTCGCTTCCACCCCTATTCCATTTGATTTTTTTGAACACATATGTTATATACCCATAATATGAGATTGATAAAAATCACAAATTCTATAAATTTTCAGCAAAATTTCCTTCATCAGCGAGAACAAAACTTACTAATTATTCAACGACCCCTCGTCATACTTTTTCATGGCCCCATTTCAATATGTAAGAGACACAAACTGGAAGTTATTCTTCATGAAGTTTCTTCTCATCTTCTGTAGCAGAATGTTTTTCCAGAAACTTTCCACCGTTTCAAATATTGTCTCTATTCCAATTTAAAATTCAGATACGTCAAGTTCCTACAACAACTTTATTTCTACTACAAAACGATGCCATGATATTGTCCTATTCGTGACAAGAGCATTGAAAGGGTGTTTTTGATTCATTTTCATTTATTCACGTGATGGCAAACCTACGATGGATAGAGATATCATAACACAAAGGTAGATACCATCAACAGGGAATATTATATAGCGTTATTGGAGCGGTTGAAGAGAAAGAGAAAAACCATCAACAGCGACATCAAGACCAACGTCACCAGTAAGAAATTTCGAAAAGATTATTGTGGAATTTGTAATTTTTTCAAACTAAATTTTGAACTGATTCTGCAACACACTAATCATCCACACTGAATATTTCCAAATGGAATAGTATTGATGATTCATTAAGAAAATATCGTCCCACATTTTCCAATGAAAATATTTCTAAAACAAATCAAAGGGTATTAATCAATGTCTTCTGAGGAAATACCCAAAGCATATTTTTTTATTATTCATCAGATAATGTTATTGAAATGCTTTGGAAACATGGAATTGATTGAAATTTTCATAAATATAATGAAATTGATTTTTGAGCGGTATGATCATTTTAAACCTCGCTAATCAGATTGCATGTTTTTCAATTTTTCATCTGCAATTTTCAGCCACAATCAAAGTTAATGAACAAGAATCATGGAAACGTAGTTTGAAATATATTTCAATTTATGCAGATCGAGATGATCCAATAACCAGAAAATATTATACAGCGAATAACGGATGAATTTTAATTCGTATTCTCTTCAGAATATTGAAACTTCAATTTCGATTCATATTTTTTAATGTTTCAACTATGGACATGATGCATAAATTTACCTCCTGATATGGAAATTGTAAATGATATATTCAGAGGTTTGAATTCACGAATTTATTGACTTCAATCATAAATCAATTTCCACTTCCACTTCAGAACTACTGAATCCAGTTATCTGTACTCTAATTCAACTCCATGATTGGCAAAAACATACTACATCGTTTGCCTTCGGTTAAAATTGCTCATTATAATTATTATAACTTAAATAAATAGTATTTTCCTGAATTGAAATCGAATAAAATGCTCCAAGCAAGTTGTTTTTAACAAAAAACGACAATGTTGACTTGTAGTTCCAGTTCACTACAGTTTTGAGGTTTCAATGAAAGGTTCAGCTGAGATAAACGTCAGAAATGGCAGTGATTTTTAAGTCGACAATGAGAATTTATGATTTTCCACGCTTCTGTATGCACAACATATTCTCCAATCACTGAAAAGTATTCTATGAAAAAAAAACATGCAGGAAAAAGAAATACATCACTTTTCCAATCAGCAAGATAATCGAGACGTAAACATTCAGGAATAGCCTGCAACCAATCTTCGATAATTTCGGTGTGTTATTCGTGAATATTTTCCAGTCAAGAAGGCGAGTGAACAGAAAGGTTCAATTCCACTTGCATAGCAATGTATTGAAAGCTGTTCCACAAGAGTTGTTATTCTGAATGATTGAGTATAAAAAATTACGAATTTCAAAATTCCATGAAGATATTTGATTATGAAAGGTTTTCTCGTACTTAATATTTCTATTTCATTAATTCAAGTACACTTGAATTCATAATTGAAGAGTATTTCATACCGTTAGTTTTCTGAAATTATTAATCGAAAATGTTATATTATTCAAATTTCTGACCACTTCAAAAAAAGTTCCGTTGAAAATTACCGGCGACTTCACCAAAAATTATCGCTCATTAGTAACCGGCGACTTCGCCAAAATTTGCGTATCAAGTTTCTGAAATTGCCCCCCGAAAATACCATATCATCCAAATTTATGACTGCCAAAATCGTTTGAAATTACCGGCGACTTCGCCAAAAATTTTGAAAGGTTTTCTCGTATTTAATCTTTTTATTTCATTAACAATCATTGTACACTCGAATTCATACATGAAAAGTATTTCATAACACAATTTCCTGAAATTGTTCCTCGAAAATGCTATATTATTAAAATTTCTGACTACGCCAAAAATTTCATACAAAATTACCGGTGACTTCGCCAAAATTACGGCTCAAAAATTATCGATGGCTCCGCCAAAATTCGCTTATTTAGTTTCTGAAATTGGTCCTCGAAAATACATAGTATATCATACAAACTTCTAGCTAAGCGACTTCGCCAAAAATTTTGAAAGGTTTTCTCTTACTTAATATTTTTATTTCATTAACAATCATTGTACACTCGAATTCATACTTGAATAGTATTTCATAACACAACTTTTCTGAAATTGTTTCTCGAAAATGCTGTATTATTAAAATTTCTGACTACGCTGAAAATTTTCATTAAAAATTTCCGGCGACTTCGCTCATAAAATACGGCTAAAAAATTACCGGCGGTTCCGCCAAAATTTGTTTATTTAGTTTCTGAAATTGGTCCTCGAAAATATACAAATTTCTGGCTGTGCAAACAATTCGTCCAAAATTACCGGCGACTTCGCCAAAAAGTTTGGGAAGTTTTCTCGTACTTGCTATTTTTATTTCATTAATAATCATTGTACACTTGAATTCATAATTGAAGAGTATTTCATAACATTATTTTTCTGAAATTGGTTCTTGAAAATGCTATATTATTCAAATTTCGGACACAAAAAAAGTTATCTAAATTACCGGCGACTCCGCCAAAATTTGTATTTGTAAATTGTCGGCGACTCCGCCAAAATGGTCGGTCTTCATTACCGGCGACTCCGCCAAAATTCGCGTTTTATTTTCTTATCCTGCGCTCTTTTACAACAAAATTATTTTTCTCTAAATAGATTTATTCTGATTTCAGACATATTGAAAGTCATCAGTTACATCAAGGCATAGAACTTATCGATGTTGAAGAAAATCTAAACTGTTTAGTCTTCCTTTTTGAAGATGATCACTTGATAATCGAAACACGTGTCGAGGTGTTAAAATCAACGATTTGGTGTTGGGAAAAAACTCCAGTAATATTCATTACTAACCCAAAGGTTCCAAATAGTGCATCATAAGTAGATAACGTATTCACAATAAAATGTAACTTGAGCTAGTTTTATGATTCACTTTGAAGCGAATTTATTTACCGTTGATTGCCATAATTCAGACTTATATTTTTCATTCAGCTACAAAAATTATTTTCAACAGGGGTCAATGAGAATAACAATCTAAAAAACCATCTGATAGGCTAGCTTTGATATCTAAAATAGATAATTTTATATTCTATAGTCCGTATGGCCCTAGAAAATGTTACTAGTGTTTCAGAGATATCACGTATACATCGTGATTCGAAAATATAAAATATCGTGGTAGAAAACTCCTAACGAATGTCTGGACAGAGCAACTCTCACATATTACGTGAAAAGTTTGTCAAATTGAATCACAACGGAGTTTCGTCATGAAAATATGAGAGTTCATGGTTTTAAAACTGAATATAATTAATTTAAAAGTTCAGACAATTTCTCACAAGGGATGACGATGGGGTGAAAACTCATAGTATACGAGTTGGGACTTCACAGAGGAAATGTGGAATAAGGTTTGAGATACAGAATATTTGTCGAAGGGTAATGTAATTCCAAAACGAGAACTTTGTCCAGAAATGTAATACCATCTTTTATTTACTAGTGCTGAGGTCGGGAACTTTTTAGACTCCCCTCGTAATCTATACCAAAACCTAATTATTAAATCTTAATTTCACGTATTCCGCAACTGACTTGATACCAAACAAACCTGTATCGTTCCAAATCGATCAAAACATCAATGATCTACTAATTGAACGGTTCTTTATAGCCCGTTCCGTGGAAATTCTAGAGCATACAAAGGTGGGAAAGCGGAAATTGAAATGAGAAATTACCTAATTCTTTCAACAATAATAACGACTGCATTGTTAGCATAATATATGTTTCTGGGTTGTCATTTCGTGCTTTCTTCGCGAATATAGTGGAGTCATACTTGTTGGAAATTGGACTAAGCTTTCTAGGAAATAGATCGATGCTCAGACATGATCTAGGACACGAAAATTGTATAGGTATGACGACATATTCGAACGTCGAATACTTAAATGAGAGATAAGCTATGGAAATATTTCAAGAACAATATTTTTCATACTGAGAATATAGCTGGCTGCTCATCGATTTGAGGTTCAACTCAGTACACGTCGAACTTCACTGTTCGCTACTCAGGCTTCGCTCTTACGGCGCCTCAAGGATTTTCCTGTAGCCTTTGTATTTTTTCCTGAAAACAATCTAAATATCAATGGTTGATGAATTATCTCGAGCATCCGTTGACAGTACTACGGCATTTCCTTCTTATTCTAATGAGGACAGTTACCCTCCACTTCAAAAGAAAATTCCAACCTCAATTCAGTATTCCGTTTCTATCGGAATTTCTCAGATATTAAAGAAACGATTCAAATCATTCGACGAAAATACGTGAAAAACAATGCGGAGGTTTCTTAGAATAGCTCTTTGTTTGATTTTTCTTGTAAATGTTCGTCATCAAGTTAATTCATTCAAGTATTGAAAGATTGGCATTGTTCCCCTTTTTTCTATTAGTCAGGTAGTAGATATAGAAGCCCATAATTTGTATATTTCTTAATGTATGAGAATTATTTGGGGTGTTTATATGACGATTTGAATAAGGGTGTTAACCTGTATCGCTGTTCATAGTTATCACTACGTATTTTTATATTTCTGAATTTTCGAAGGCCTCTAGAAGCTTGTTGTTATATACAGTTCTCAACAATTTCAACTACGTCTCACATATTCTGTGGACGGACTTAAAGACCCGTTGAGCCACACAAGACTCCTCTGGTCTACGAAGCCAAATATCTGGAACATGTTCCTAGAAACGCGTTCAAATACTTTGCTCAGTTTGACCAACATACTGTCTATCGGGTTGCCCAACACTTGTTGGAGTGTTCGAGAAGTTCTAAACCAATAAACTTATTTCAAATTCAGTTCCAGTGTATTCGTAATTCTTTAGAAATACACTGTAACTCAATACAAACAGCGAATGCTTGATATTCTAGGTATCTGATGACAGTTTTGATATTGATTAATTAGAGATATATCAAATGAGTTCTGAGAATTGCGATTAAAATCATATTGGACGAACAAGTTAAGCTAGTGAAACACGTTTCAAGAGACATAAGAAACTTCTCAGTAGTGTACGTCATTAAATTTCTCCTCGAGAGAGTAATGTTTTCATCCAAGAATATTAATGGAAAATGAGTAGTTATTTAACCAATTCTATCTTTTCTTCGCAGGAGCTTGTATGACTTATGGACATGCCTGTTGGGGGGGTAAGTACGAACTAGAATTATAATGAGAGATTTTTTTGCTGGTATTTTTTTGGCAAGACTGTTTTTGACAGATCACGCGTGAATCGTGTCTTGTGCCATTGTCAAACTTGTTCAGTTTGGTCTATAATCTAACCATGAACCGACTTACGAATGAACGCTTGTAAATTATTGCATTATATTCGAATCCAGTTTACATTATTGAACATTAAATCACCAACACGTATACGTAGAGTGAGGATCGAAGAAAATATCGCGGCTGTATCCGCCAGTGTTTGTGATGACCGTGAACAGTTTATCTCTTAAAAAATCACCCTATATCAATAAAAATAATATACCTCATATAAAATTACCGTCGATGAAAACATGAAAAAAAATGTCATTTTGATATCTTACTTACAATAGTTGCTTCACTCAAAATATTCTATCCCACAAACTAATAGTCCGGCAGCTGTGAAATTTATACACACCTCTCTTCAAGGTTAGGGTTGACTAAAAATCATATAGATTTAGCCCCATCTGTGTGTTAGTCTGCGAACTTTCAGCCCACCTAATAGTCTACGTTTCAGCTCACGGAAAAAGAAGTGACAGCTCAAGTTTACCATCACCGAAGGAGGACCACAGCAAGACTTTCAAATCAAAATGGTTCTTATCTAGGTTGATTCAGGGCCCAATGGACTTGAGAATCCTGAGGGAGGGAGACTTTGATATATCAGCAAGGAACCAGAACATTGAACCTCTATTGGCCATTGACGATGTCATAAGCAAGTAAGTACTCAACTGTGGTTAATTATTCTTGGAAATTGAAGATACGGAAGACTACACATCTGTTATCAGATTGTGCATCCGATATAGGTCGATAAAAAGTAGTGAAAACAATTGATACGGCACCTACTCTAAATAAGCCGATCTTCAAATGAAGAAATGCTTTTTTGTAGAGAAAAATGGTGTTATAACACCTGAGCTGAAAACTCCCGGGCCTAAGAAGAAAAGCGTGTTTTTCACATGTCGTTACTTTCGAATGAATATATTGTATATTTTTGACAGCCCTTCATTCGAACAAAAACTCCACTAGCTATTCAAGTCCTAGAGTAACGATAACTGATGCACCCTTGAAACGAATGAGCTCCCTATCCACCTATCAATTAAGGGTTAAAGTAGCACAGCGACCAAACTAACCGACTGATCCTCTCCAGGGAATTGAATACCCAGTGGTCTTCAATTTTCCCAAAACCAACGTTATCTGAATAACGTACAACAAACTTTCCTGATGATACGACTAAAGAAGCTGAATAGGGCGAAATTATTTGCTGTTGCCTTTAAAACCTGATCTGTCTATAATTATTTCAACACGAAAGAAGGCAAGTGTGAGGAATATTATTAGAATGAACTCTGGCAAGCTTTGTTGTGCGATTTTCAGTAATTCACGAGTTGATAATCATAGTTATCTTCATTTTCATCAGGATGGAAATTTTTTCCCTCACCCTTTCAACTGAGATTCGTCAGGAGGACGAATGGTTCATAATGTAAGGTGTTTTGGTGGCGACCTAAAAGTCAATGACCTCTATGCCGTCCAGGCTTTGTGTACCCCTTCCTGACTGGGGTATTTGATGAACAAACTGTTCATTTTAACAGACGTCGTGGGGCCTTCACTCAACCGAGCGACGGTACCTTCTGAATCGAGTGGGGTCGTCTATAGTGTAATCTACAGCTTCCCTAACTAATGGGTTATCATGAGTTTCCGCTGACTCGAAAACTCTCTGATTCCTCGACTGAATGGACTGCCGTATAGTTAACAGCTTCAAATCTCTGTGGATGGCTTCTTTCTGCACGATCACGAGTTGATGAAGTCGGTATTTCTAAAGGCACAGTGAGTAACGTCAAACTTAGCCTTTTCTGATAGATTAACTTCTCAATTATGTAAAGTTTCAAGTAAAAATTACAAATGCATCTGACTTACCCACTTGACGGAGCTATTATATCGAGCTATTCCGCCATTGTTTTTCCTAATATTGACTGGTATGTAAAACGAAAATGTCATACTTTTCAGCCAATAGAATAGACATCAGTTACCACTTGGAGTTTCAACTTTGTACCATGAGATTAGAAATTGCAAAAGGACCGTCCAACTTTTATCCACGAATATGGTGAATGTTTCAAATTCATGCTTCCTGGTCTTCACAAAAAATCTATCAAGGTGATAGTACAATTTCCCAATGCTTCGCCGGTAGAAATAAAATATGTATGAAACCTGTCCAGAATCAAAAGCAAATTGGAAGCATTTTTCATCTCAAATATATTGTCTAATATTACTAATAACTTCCTTATACAAAGGTCGATATGAAGTGATTTTTGATGTGATGTTCAACATTATATCCGCCCCACTAGTTTTGTTTCTTTGAGTTTCTTCAAATTAATCAGTATATCATTGTTCTTTTCGATAGACAAGACCCTTGGAAGACTAACCAAGAACTGATTCCTGACACAGATGATCAACTTTTCGACGACAGCTTTCTGAGAGCCGAAGAAAACAATAGGATGAGGTTACCAAAAGCCCTAGTGAGTATGAGCACAGTTTGTACAGTTCAAAAACGTAAATGTTCATATTTTTAAGAAGCTTGAGGAATGTCCCAGCTTCCCAAACAATTTTCTTTCAAGAAAGTAACCTTTTCATACTTTCCTAGCATACACTAGCGGCTATTATATATTCTATAAAAAAATTAGTTGATACTCCACACTTGTATACACAGAAGTTATGCAAGTCTCACGTCAGTTTTTTTTGTTCCAGGCCAAACGTTCTACAAAATGAAACTAAGGATTGCGCTACCATCAGCCTCTCGAGACAACTTTCACTGACCCCAAACATTAATTTGTTGTATTTCCTGCAGCCCTGTTGATTGTTATAGGCTGGAAACAACTAATAGGGCTCCAACTCACTGTTTTTCCCATGCCATGTATTTTAGGTAAAAACAATTAATGAGAAATATTGGTCTGATTGTATAGTAAATCAACTTTTTGTCAGGATAAATACACTGCTATATTTCCACCAAAATCTTTCCCGTTGACAAATTTATTGTCGTGGCTCAAACAAAATGAATTCAAGTGGCCTCAAGACTGTCATATAATTAGTAATTTCATTGGTGTCATAAAAAGAACTAGTTTAGAAACTGTAATATGAATAAAGAAAAATTATTAAAATATATGTTCGTGATATCAATAATATTGTATTTTTTTAAAGTGTTCCTTCCGATTCAATACTTTCACAGGTTCGTCCTACAAGGACATTTCAAAATACATTGTATTCGTCTGTTACAAATACAAGTTCGAGGTGTACCGAGTTGAACTTCAAAACGATGAGCAGTCACAGTTGGAGGCAAATCTCCGACCTTTCTTCGATGTGCCAGACTATCAAAGTTACAAGTGATGCTCGAGTCTCCAATCAGGTGAATGACTCTCTTCTGGATGGTACAGCAGCTTCAGAGTGTGCTTACAGGCGGAGCTCCATACATGAGAACAATACTCCAAAGAAGGTCTAATTTGTACAGTTTTCTGGTTCGGAACAGTGTTTCAAGCTTTTGATGAGCAGCCTTTGCAATTCCAGCAACGTGATTGTGTCCATTTGAACCCCCAACAAACTTATCGAAGCAGCTTCACCTAACGTTATTATATCAGGTTCAGAGATATTTGTCTTCTTGGAGAAAACCGATTCCTGGGTTTTTGTGGCACTGAACTGAACCTGGATACTTTCACTGCAATTCGAAATCACTTCTAGTTCCTCATTAAGATATGCAACTTCCTGGAATCCAAATAGAATGACGAGACAAGTGTGCTGTCGTCAGCAAAGCAAAATATTGGATCCTTGGTTTTTTCCAATAAGTCGTTGATATACCTCAAAAAGAGGGTTGGAGACGATATAGACCCCTGGGGAACACCAGCATTGATGGCATTCGAGAGATATCCACTTGCAGGGAACGTTATTTCAGTCCAAAATCAAAGCTACATCTTTTGAATAACTTCCAAGTAACACAAATATATAATTTTTTCTCGTGTTCATCTTCTTCCTTCTTGTCCTCTTTGCTATTAGGCGTCCTTGTTTATACCAAAGGATTCGATCTCCTTGACACGTAGATTGAAACTATTTCTGTTGTCGGTAAATTAGAGCATTGAAGATTTATTTTAAGTCTTCTTCTCGAGAGAATCAAAGCTATCAAAATAAATGTAGTCGCTTTCATCCATGCTCAAAGAAGATAATCCATTGAGTTCAATTAGACAAGGGTAGTAAAAATTTCACATGTTGAATCAAGAGACATTCGTTCACACTCAAAAGAGTTTATTTATATAAAAAATATCACAAAAAACATAACAAAGAGGAATTAACACATATATATTTTTATTTTCCAACAATTTCACATAGCCCAATGGTCCATATTTATCCTGGGGATCGCTTGACTGGAACAATCGACAAACTCGTTCCTAGAGAAAGAACAGAAATATAACGACGTGAACTATTTGAAAAACTATGAAACTTCGGTACTCACTGTGGGGTGCCAGGTTTTTTGAAAGCATTTTTTGCTTGACTTTTAAGTAGTATATGGTCGCTGTTGTCGCAGATTATTCTGGACATGGATGCTTTCCTTAGTTCATAGAGTTGGTCTGAGGAAGGAAATCGGGTATAATTAGTATCGAAACTACTGTAAATTTATTGATAATCAACTGATAAAAGTTTCATATTTGTATTCAAATCGAAATTGAAGTTAATAGGTACCTCGAATTACTTTTGCAATTCTCATAAACACAATATTGAACAATTTTCACACTGGAAGTAAATCAATAAATAATACTTGTTGGTAACCTACCAAATACATCATTCTTACAGGTGTTTGACACTTGACACATGGTGGACATTCTACAGAATGCCCTTATCACCTTTTTCATCATGAAATGACCTGACCTCTTGCCTCTCATGTAGACCTACGACCTTGTAGGTACGTGTGTCAGATACCCAACGGAAAAACAACAACAACAACAAAAACAATGCCGCGCAGAGAGTTGAATTAACGTCTTCGATTTGGAAGATTCGCCGCAAGTTATTTCCCGCTATGAAAAGCAAAAATTAATTTCGTTTGGTCGATACGACCAACCGATAGACTGGTTTCGAGGTATTGTCCCATCATCAGTATCGGGCAAGTCACTTCAGGCGGAGTGAACCGTCCAACAAACAAAACTAATTCCAACTAGTCATAAACTTCATCTGCAGTTGATTCAGTAGGATGTCCGCAGCGACACCTGCAGACAAAGCTAGGAAATAACTCCACATACACATACTCCGGGGTTGGAGTCAGAATAATAATTATATTCCTATCCGGCGACGTGCATATGACATGCTCTAGGTTCAGAAAAACCACCTTACCCCTTGCGAACGCCAATTTATGACTTTAGATTCGTGAGCAGCGGACAAAAATACGTAAAAACCACCTCATATGTATATCAATTACTACTTTTTTTGTCATTTCATCACCCATCCTACCTTTTTTAAACCTCTCAGTAATTCCATAGAGGAATTTCTTTTTCCCTGTATGCGTTGACAAACGATACTTTCAAAAAACGGAAAACTCAAGAGAAGAGTTAGTACTGCAATAAATCATGAGTTTGCCACCGTTCTGGAAGTTTTGACATTCGAAATTATTTTACAGTGCAAAAGTGCGGTCTCAAAGAGCACATGTGACATATTTGATCCATACGTATGTATCTCTAGAGGTTGGGATCGCAACTTATGTCGTGAACAAAATAGGTTATGAATGAACTTACCCACTTTGCCTCCATATTTACCACTTTCCAAAGGAATTTTTATGGAATGAAGAAGAAGCGGGCACTTTTTACAAGATTATATTCTAATGTACCAAATCGGATGAGAATTTCATTTAGAACACATGTATTTTTCTTAACTTGGCCATGATTGTTTGTCATGTTTTGCCAACTGAATATTAAGAAAATTGAACGGGAAATGGGTGCAATGAAAACGGATCTTTCAAACAGCAAACAAACAAACATCAACTACATATGACAACTGGCATTAAGGACAAATTACACATTGTATCCAACTTAGGAAAACAAATTGCCCCAAACAAAATCCTAATTCGAATGGTTGACTGATAATTTGCAAGTTTTTAGTTCGTTAATTTGAATTATTGGAATCTTTTTCGGGGACTAGTAAAAGAAAAAGATGATCTAATTATTATCTTCTGCTTCATTCAATAATCAAAATTTAATGAGGGGAATACTGAAAAACGTCAATTTTCCAAATCGAATCTGTTTGATTCGAAATGAAACATACAATTTCGAAAACATCCAATTTTTATATTACGTCTGCAGCACTGTTTTACTTTATTTATATCTCTTACCTGGAGTGAAATGTCCTGGATTAACGCTAGGGTCATTTTCGAAGAAATATCTGTCCCCGTTCTTCAGTCTCGAAAATTGATCAGCAATTATATTTCGGAAAACGGGTCCAACGATTCCCTCACCATCTTTTTCTTCTAGCAAGCCACCTACCCACAGGTCGACGTCATTCACAGAGGCGTATACTTTTTTCAACTTTGGCCCTATCTAATGTAACACATAATGAGTTTATTAGCTACACACTTAGGTTACACAGTAATAACCAAACTAGCAGTCAACAATAAAGGAATTAGTAATATTCCGGCACCGTAAAAATAGTTTGGGGAATCACTAGATATCCGGTACTGTGAAAGTAATTTTGAGAGTAGCTGATGTTCCAGTGCCGTGAAATTAATTTCAGGACTAGCTATACTTTCGGTCACGTGAAGGTAATTTTGGCTGCTAACTCCCAATGCTGTGAAAATAATATTGAAAGTGTTTTCGGTACCGTGAAATCGACTAGCCTTCCATTTGAAATCGTCTTTATATAAATTTCTATTGATTACTGGTTGGAAATAGCTGGTCTTGCCAAATATTTGTCAAATTTCTAGCAAACTGAATCCATAGTATACTGAAATAACTGCCAGCCCCCCTCAGCGACTTCTAATCACGAAATTCAGATCCAGTGCATTAAAAGCGTTCGAAAAGGCTTGTTCAATTTTCCAAAAATTTTATCAATTTATTCTAACCCACCTACGGATCACTGTTAACGAATGAGCGCAAGAAACGGTAAAGAACTTCAGCAACTAGCCGTAAGAAGTTACAGTTTGGCTATTGATGAAGTATGAACACAAAGTGGTTCAGCTACTGATCGAACGATGGCGCAACGCTACAATTGTAAAAGTATGAACATAAAATAATATGAAACTTTTCTGGCTATGAAGTTGCATTCGGTGGCTCCGCAGAAAATTGCACTGAGAAGCTCCAAACGAACTCAAAAGATTATTCCGAGACTTCTATCACATTGTGTGGTTACAATATCGAAAGTTGCTTTCAGTGGATATGTATATTTAGCGAAAGTGAACATCAACAGTAGCGATTCATAAAAAATTAAAAGAATTCTATAAACAAGCTACATTAGTAGACTGAACGATAGTTATTATGAAAACTACCCACCTCTGGGCCAAAATCACTGAATGAAGTGAAACGTGGTAATCCAACTAACTCTCGATAATCATTGTAGGGTCTTAGGCCATGGTCCCTTCCTCTCTGGATATTGAGAGACGGTAGATCGACTCCAAATGGGTTCCCAGCCCTGAAGAGGTATTTAGTCACCTAGAAATATTGAACCTAACATTAAATAATTTATGGAGTGGTTTTCTGTTTAACTATTGAAGCCGTTTCTAACTCGACAAGTCACTATGTGTTAAATAAAAAATATATATCTGGCTGCACTGAAAACTTATTCACATTATAAGTTCCAACCAATACCGGTGGTGGTAAAATATTGTTGCTGAAGTGGATTACTTACAGCTTCTGGGAAAGAAGAGTCTACTTCTTGAATTGGTTCTGTAGTAAGCGTGCTCAAAACCATGTCCATGAATTTTTTTCTTCGCATCTGCGATGGGTAGAACATCACTTCGGGAATGGCTATCTGCTCCTCCATATGAGTCATTCCATATATTCTAAAAATTAATTAATTGCATCTACTTCTAGTCCTAGCTCTGATATAATGGATAACGAGTTTCTTGAAGAAATATTTATCGTTTTCACGATTCCTCATTCCACTTACTTCTCGGTTATTTCGATAAGTAACATACTTACTTCAGTGTTCCATCAATCATGGAATGTCCGAATCGGAACGCTGCTGTTGCGAATTCATTGATCACTGATGGTTGAATTCTCTGGTCATAGTCATAGGAGTAGGAATACTTCTCTTCCAAATTCAAGCCAAACTCCTCCATAGTCGATTCTCCTAGTTAAACAAATGCAAATGTATAGTGTATAAATATATGTAGTGCTTCTTCGAGTACAGTTTTCTGGGTCAGAAGTAACAAATTCAGCAGCAGAACGAAAGATTCCTTGAAGAACGTCCAGGTAGGTAAAAAAGCGGTACATGGAGAACCGTATAAACTTCTTTCCACCATACAAGACGCCAGAATAAGCAAGTTTGGCTGTGATTAGGGTTCCTTTTTTTCCAGAACATTAGAGAAACTACTTAACAGGCATATTATAGAACGTATCACTGGTTAAAGTGTCACCATATCGGAACCAAATGGATACAGAACACTGTACTATCTCCTCAAGAAGCAAAATTGTTTTCAGTAGGACTAGAAAAATATAAAGTAATGTGCTATGTAGACAACTAGAATAGCACAGCAGACCTGAAGAAGAAGATTGACTGATAAAGAAGAACGTAACATAAGCCATTCTAAATTGACCAAACTAGCTTTTAGAAGAGGACTTCTGTGACTGCGAGGTTAAGAGACTCACTATTGGTACTGAATCCAAGACTGGTCTAGAACCGACATTTAGAGTGCATGAAAAGGAAGGTTGGGAAAGGCGGAAGAACATGAGGGCTGAAATCAGACGTGATGTATTGATTGACTTTAGCCAATGGTTAAACCCATTAGGATGTGGCCTACAACGAAATAAGCGACTGATATTCAAGGTTTTACTTGTGATGCTGTGATACTGAAATATAGAAATCCATAAAAATGTTTAATTTGATTATTAGTTTCAAAAGCTTCACAATTTTTCATTTGAAATACGTATTCTTGATTTTATTATCCTAAGCATCGGTGGTTCAGTGGTAGAATGCTCGCCTGCCACGCGGGCGGCCCGGGTTCGATTCCCGGCCGATGCACTTTTCTTTTTTTTTTTTTAGTAAAATATTGATAATATTTTCAACGATATTATTGGTACGTCGAAAGATTGCTCGCAATGTGTTCAATGTCCACTGCAAAAAGTGTCTCCATTTTGTGATAAAAGTGAGCTTTATGTAGAACTGTGTGCTACGGTCATCTTATATGCTATTGCTGTTTATTGTGTTTGGTTAGGAACTATAATGGAACTTGAATTCCAAAGTGATGAACAGCATGTTTTGGTGGGCAAATATTCATATATAGACACATACCTATAATCACCGGTAAAAACTCCTTATAAGTAATAACTTGCAACTCTGCGATGACAATTTGCCGAGCTTCCAGAAAAATTTGTTCATCGTTCCAATCAGGATTCAGTTTAGTCAATGCATCCGCTATTCTGTTGTGCTCTCTCATGAACAGCGTATGTAAAACCACAAGCGTGACCATTTGATTGGTTCGTGTGTCGCCTGAAAAACATTCAGTGATAGTTACAATTAACAGAACAATGAACTAGAACGATCCTCACCAGAATTGAAGCAAGCAGTTCCTTGCTCCATTGTGAGACAGGCATCCTTATCTTTAGACAGCGGCAGCAAATCTCTCCCGTAATCATTGAAAACCTTGAGCTTTCCTTCTTCGAAACTTCTGAGTTCCCCAGTTTGCTCAGAAGTGGAACCATAAATTGTAGACCCGTCGATGAAATGGGTCACTTTGTTCATCTGAAAACAGAAACGGATTCGTCAATAATAGTACTGAACATGCCTACTATAATATATGATTTGAAAACCCTGAAAGAACGACTAAAACTGAAACGGAATGGTTACTCCAGAGTGATGGTACAACAGACTTTGGTTCGCAAGGGAGAGAAGCCGTCACAGGTCTTGCACTTCCCTACATAAGAGGATTGTCGGAAAGGATACGGAGAATTGGGTCCAATTACAATATCAGAACCTACTTCAGATCAGGAAACACCATCCGTAGCAGCCTCACGAAAACCAGGCCACCAAACGCTGACTGCGATTCCAAGAATTGCATTTACCGGATACCCTGTGAGTGCGGAAAATCCTATATTGGTGAAACTAAGAGGTCATTGAAAGTTCGCATTGCCGAGCACGAGAACCACACACATCGAGGGGAAATTAGCAAGTCAGGAGTAGCAGAGCATGTTTGGACTCATCAACATAACACCAAGAGGTCCCAAGCTGACTTCATCCACAGGGAGGAACACTGGTTTAGGAAGAAATTCAAAAAAGCTGCATATATGTTGTCCAACGACGCCTGGGCAAGATATTGTATCATCAGTATCATTTTCTTATTGATATTAATTACCTGTTGGGCATATCCAAGGGTACAGTCCTCTCTGGGGGCTAAAACGGATCGTACAAAATTCATGCAACCCTGCTTGTATCCACCAAAGAAGTTGTCTTCTCTTGGTAGAGTAATCGGCATACAAGCAAAGTGTCGGTATTCTGGAGGAATCACATCCCATCCGTCTTGTGTACAGCAGGATATTGCACTTCCGTTGACTGAAAGAAAGAAATATATCAACTAAAAGCAAGCACGGTTTCGACATAGACCGCCGTATAATAAATTGTTTTTTGTCTCTCTCCCTCTCTGTAGGTTCCACTGTGAAATAACTACAGGTAAAACCAGTGTTTTATACGAAAAGATTCACCAAGTTGTTTTTGTATATGTTGAAATATATTATTATTTTCAGTAAATACTTTAAAGTTTACTTAAACACTTGTACAAAGGTCTCGTAAAAGTGTCAATAGACTCATCATTTTCGAAAATATATTGCCGAAAATGTTATCACAATCCGTACTTACCATAATTGAGGCTAGATGGACTGCACATGGACTTGTGCAGATCACCAATTGCACAAATCTAATGCAGAGTGCAATAGACTGCCGGTTAACACTGGAAGTTACATATTCTGTGAATAAACTCTGACTTTATGCCTCCAACAGTCAACTACGAACTGAGAGAGAGAGAGAGAGAGAGAGAGAGGGATAGTTGTTGATTCAATGGATCAAAAACACCTTCAGGCTCTGGTGCAGGTGTTTTCAGTCGCAGACCTAGGACATATATATCAACCTCACTAGGGACCTATGTGATTGTATTTCAAGCGGAAATCTATGCTATTGAATTGTGTGCGGAGAGATTGGTAGAATCCAACCTCAAACACAAGTCAATAAAAATATTCTTGGACAGTCAAACGGCGTTGAAAGCTCTTGGCTCTTACCGAGCAACATTTAAATTGGTAGGAAATTGCCGAAAACGACTCTCCTCAATAGGAAGACTTAATAAGTTGTCTCTGGTCTGGATTTCTGGCCATACTGGCCAGGAAGGCAATGAGGCTGCTGATACCCTTGCAAAAGAGAGTGCTGCAAGCAGCTTCATCGGATTAGAACCTGCCATTGGCCTCGCTTTAGGCTTTGCCAAACAAAGATTAAACACCTGGATGGCAAGAAGATTTTTGGACTTTCGGACTTTCAACCTAACCTAACCTACCATAATTGTAATCCAGAGATTGAGTGATTTCGTGGGCAAGGAACTGACCAAACTGCATCACCAACAGAGTAAGATCTTGGTTAGCCTCTGCTCTATCGTCGAATAACGAAGTAGTAACAAGCCTTGGGCTTGGAAGTTCCTTCTCTCCGACTTGGGAAGTTCTTGGGGTCCAAATTCCTAAAATGACACATATTCAGTTCACACTACGTATTGATTTGAAACATAACTCACCATCTTCATAACTTGGAGGTAATAATCTAGAGTACGGAGTTCGAGTCGCACCCCACAGAGAATTGTACTGGTTGTTGCAAGATCCATCTATTCTTCGGTACTTTCCGGGAACCACTGGACAAACTGGACTAGGAGGACAATTGTGTCCCAAAGGAGTGTAACGAAGATCTTCTTGGATCATTCCTAACTCCAAGTCTGAGTTACTGACACCCTCTCTGAAACAGAAGATAGTGACATAATACCTATATGAATAGAACCTCAAGATAATATTCTTCTACCACTGTTTGTCCTGCAGGAACCCAGTTCACACGAATAATTTCATGAACGAGACCTTTATGTATATGACCTTTATGCCTGCATGGACATCAAATGCACTGTTATGTTTTTGGTAACTGATGATGACATGATTTAAATTCAGGGCGAGACGTACGTAGTCATTGCAACATGTTATATTGTGATAAAGTTTCAAGTAATCTGCGCATAGAAGAAAATTAACATCAGTAGGGGTCCCAGATTTAACCCTTGTGGTACACCAGGTGTGCCAAGATATTCGACAGACTTGAGGCCATTGAGTTGGACATACTGCTTACAGTTGTAAAAATGCGATTTGGAGAGAGTAATTGAGTCATTGGATAACCCAAAAGTCAAAAGCTTGTTGAGCAAGATACTATGGTACTTAGGGTATAATAAACATCTTCAATCTTGGAGTTTTTAATTGCTAGACTGGGAATGTCACTGCTTATGATCACTCGATGTTGATATACTAGTTACATATTGTGCATTTCAGGATTCATTTCTAGTACCCTCGTATATAAACTCACCTGTCTTTAAAAACTTTAGTAGCCATCGCGATTTCCAAAGCCTTCATAGCGACGTTGGTGACCTCGTTCAAATCGAAGTGATCGAATCTCCTGGAGTTTCTGAAGTGGCTGTAGCTCGCTGATCCCGGCAGTAATATCGTCGGCTCTTCAGAATCCAGCAATCTGGCTTCTCTGGATCTGAGCTGGGACATTTCGTCGCGGCATTTGTGATTCAGGGCTCCCAGCACGGCTTCATCTAACTTTATAATGCGATGACCGCGGTCCTTTTTTGTGAACGGCTCTGTGAATAAATTTGTTCAGGCTGAAATTTCACCACAACGATACAGGATTTTTCTTGATAATGTGCTGATAGTTGAGGAAGCTATTTTTGGGACTGTTTCCAGAAAAAAAATCACAGGACGCTAAAGTTCAAAGAAAGTTTTTCATTATAACTTTGGCATGATAGCATTCAAAAATACAAAAATTGTTTGTTATCTTCAGATGTAAATAGTTACTTGTTTATCACTTCATCTTAGAATTGTTTATTTCTAATCCCACGGACGCCACTGGCAGGAAGAAACAATCAAAGTTTTCAAGTTTCATTACAAAAAATGCCTTTTGGTGAATATAAAATTCAGGTATACTACGGCTTCCAAATCCGTTTATGTTTACACAAAGTTTTTGTCTCAAAACCACTCCAAAAATAACCATGGTACGATCAACATGAAAACTCGTACAGTGACATGTGGAGCCCTCTATTGTCATGTGACCCAGGTCACACGGTGCGAAACTCAAAGTTGTCCATACAATAATTTAATCTCCGTTTCTGTTGTTGTTATTCTACTTGAAATTAGTGTTTGTGAACATAAATTGCTTCAATCATTACGATGTCATCCTCTGAAAGTGATAATGATCCAGAAGTCAACGGAAGTGACAAGAGCCGTTTCTCGCATTTGATTAGGTTAGGTTAGGTTAGGTTAGGTTCGGTTCGATTAGGTTAGGTTAGGTTAGGTTAGGTTAGGTTAGGTTAGGTTAGGTACGGTTAGGTTAGGTTATGTTAGGTTGGGTCAGGTTAGGTTATGTTAGGTTAGGTTAGGTTAGGTATGGTTAGTTTAGGTAAGGTTAGGTTAGGTTAGGTTAGGTTTCTAATGCTTTTCTAGCCATTTCAATTGATTTTTTCTCAAAAATTTCAAAAAAATCAACCTCTTCGCACCTCCACGACAATTTTTTCTACTGTGATGATTTGATCTTGTTCCAACCATGTTTTTATTAGGAACTCTTGCCCTTGGGCTTCCGCAGACCACTTCCAGGCGAATTTTACTTCGTGACTTGGGCTTGCATCCGTAAAAAATTCAACTGACCCAGGAACTGACGTGTGTTCGCTGAATGGGCTGTGAAGCAGTTGCCAAATGACCCTAATTCTTATCGAACAATCATCTTCAGCCATGAGGCCCATTTCTGGATGATAGGTACGTGAACTAACATAACTGTCGTATTAGGGATGATACTGTTGTCAATCATGCCCTTAAAAAAAATTACTCCAGCCGCCACTGGTAGCCATCACCCACTTGTGACGTAGCTAAGGCCGCGCGACTGTTCGATGTTTGCTGCCGTTCTAGAAGTAACGAGAATGTTCTAGTGCCTTCGTTTGCCAAATATAAGCGCCATCTACTCGCCCATCGAGGCAGTCAAGTGAAAGTTACAGTGCAGTACGCGGAGCGATCTAGTAAAACGATAGACATTCGAATAATAGTTTTAGTTGAAGTTTTTGTTGAAGTGTTTGTTATATTTACAGTGAAATGGAGTTGAGTTTGATTATTGTTCAGTGTAGTCAATTATTGGTAAACCCACGGGGGAAAACGTAACAATACCAATAAACATTAGATCCAATAGCGTCCAATGCATCTCGAAAAAGTCACTGTTTGGTGTGAATTTTGGGCTGGAAATGACAGGATGGACGATGACCTAGGAGAACACCTCCTCAGGGGATGTACAGACACAGAAACAAATACAGAGAATATTCAAATTGTTTTGACTTTAACATTTAACGTTCACTGAGAATATTAAATAACTGATTGAATGATTGGATGAGGTAAACCCAGTAGAAGAAGTTTGAACAGGAACAACCAAAAAAGTTTTTTTGTAATTCTGGCAAATTTTTGTGCAACTGTAAAATGAATGAACTAACAATCAGTTAAATAAAAACAAAAGTAACAGTTTACTTGTGAGATTCCTTCCGGTGGTACAACAGACCCCTTTCTTTCCCGTCAGTGTCTTGCAGAAAGTTTTTTCAGGCGACCGAACATGAGCCGAACAACTGACGAAAGGCACGCATACAGCGCCACCTCTACAAGTGCCCATGAACGTTCCATCTTGACTGGAAATATACGGAAACGACGTGTCTTGTCTTCCAGAGATTACCTGGGATCTTCCTCTGGAGAAGTCCATTGCGACATGTCCTCCGTTGGGGTCTATCACGAGGAGGTTCAATAAGATCGGAATCCACTTCATTCCTAGAACCCAAACGAATCGATAAGAAACGAGAAAAGGATGTTGGGAAAATTTTTTCTGGTTTCCTACTTCGCTATTGAACAGAAAATGTGAGAAACTTCTATGTTTTCCAAAACGTTGCTGATGAGGTGATAGGACAAGTGTTTTGTCCCGAAACTTCGAAGTAACCAACGTCAATGACATTATATATCAATGAAACAAGTGTATGTAGTACAAACTGAATGGTGACAAGTGATTATCGTGTTCCTATGAACGCAGTTGTTTTGAAAAAGGTTTTTTCACAGTTTGTGTATGCTCTATGTATTTTTATGACAGTCTTCATTGTAGTTATTGTATTCCTTTCCTTGTTTGAAAGTTTCTCAGATGTTCTGTTCAAGTTTATACCGCGACAGACTTGAATTAATATTTATTGAGATCTGGATCTACAAAAAAGCATGACTTTAAAAAGTTGGGACGTTGTTATAGCATTAAAAATATGTTACGATATAATGGAAAAAGCAATTTTTAAAGCTGTTTTGGCCCAAGTTTTGTAGAACTTTTCGAAACTGTCTCAACTTGGCCAGATTTAGGCAATTGAAAAATTGTTGTTCTATTTTGGAAACATTCGCAATATTAAGCAAAAATAACATTTTTTAACAATTTTCTTTCAACATATGGCACTGAAAGATATATTCCTGGCAAATTTCAGTTGTACAGTTTCGAATTTGGCGAAATGGAAAATATTTGAAATTTCCGCCATTTTGAAGATTCACTTGCTTATATCTGGCCAAACTTTGGTCGACTCCAGATTCGAACTTCGCAAAATGGCCTTCTCAAAAAGTTCTAAAATTTTGTTAAGGTCACCTACAAAGGAGACGAAACAGCATTGAAAAACTGTATTTTTTGCTGTATCTTCTTACCGGAAAAATGGGAAAGCATAGAAAGTGAAAATAAAGGTTTCCTCAAGCACTCAAAAAGAGGCGAGCTCCACCAAAAAATGCATTGTTTTCAGTTATTTCATATTGGATCTACTGGCTCCGTAAACACACCATTCTTTTTGTTTTTTCATAAGCTGCATTTTCACTGACAGTGATTTATTCGCTAAAATACTTACGTTTTGAGTTATTCTACAATTTGCAATCGACAAAGTGTGAAGTAGGTACTACAAAGTATTTTTAAATGTTCATGTCTAATGTCTACATTACAATTTACAAATTGAAATTTCTCAAAACATTTACCGAAGTGTGAAAAACAAAATACTAGCCTAGTGGCTACATTATTAAAAGATGAAACAAATAAATATGGTACTTATGAAGAAAATGATGTAACAAATCTGGTACTCACAAAGAAAATGGCAAGGAAATGCTATAGTGGTAGAAGTGACACATTAAACAGATCTAAGTTATTATGATATTGATTTCCTAGCTTCAGAATACGAGAAATCGGACTGTTCAAAGCATAATTGGTAAGGAAAACATAATAATGTCAGAAAATTTATTTGTTGAAGTAGTTCTGGGCAGTTTATCTCACTATTTATTATTTTGAAGAGGAAACTCAAGTTTATAGAAATTCTTCTATCTTCCACTATGAAAAAGTTATCGTGACGAAACATGTCGTGATATTTTTTAAATAGAGTTTGTGTAGTTTATGAAATATACACTTTAAATTTTCCAAATATTTTACAGGTTATAGTGTTACTAGACCTTTTGCACATTTAAGATTTGATTCCTAATTCCAGAAACTTCCAAATACTTACCGTTGACTTCAATAAGAACACCAATCACTAATATATGGATATACTTGTCGTGTGAACCAGAAAATCTTAAATGGCTGATTTTTTTCAAGTTTTTGTTCAATAGTATTGACGGAGTTTACCCAGTGGCGTGCTATGATCATTTAAATGTGCTTAGAATTTACTGAAATTGGAAACATTCCCAAATTCAAATTTATACACTCCATTCTTCTTATTTATTAATTCAATTCACCTGAAAAGGTGACTCTGACTCAACTTCACGGTCAAACTAGTAATAAAAATACAAAAAGATCAAACTTCGTATATTCGTGACGCACTTTATTTTTTGTTTAATTTTTTACAGAGTAGTTACAAGATTCAATGTATCCCGATCAGTACCTTATAGAGGAACACGATGTAGCAGCTGGAACTTTCTCTGACTCGCGGAAAATACTGTCGGTACTGATAGTGGGGAAAACAAGACGTGTATTTGGTTCGTTGGCTATCAAAACATCTTCGTAAACATGTAGAGGCTGAAAAATATATTTTATTATACTATCCATAATGATAATTGTAGAATTATCACTATAAATTTCATTCAACAGGCTTGTCGCTGTCTTTTGGCTTACAAGATAGGCTATTAATTCTGATAAAACAGGTACATTTTGAGAAAACAGTTACTTCTGGGAAAACAGGTAAAATATTGGCATTTTATGTTAGAACTCAATTAGATAAGTGATTAATTGTGGAAAATGGGAAAAATTTATTGATTAATCCTGGTAGAACAGATATATTTTGATTTATTTTCAGAGATTTCGTCTGGTCCAATTTTTGTCCTTCATTCTCTGTATGTAATATATCCTAGTCTATGTTGAAAATGTGGTTTTTCTCTAAAAGGTGGCCAACACCCGTGGAATTGCTTTCTTCACTTTTAAACTTTTTTTATGTTCTGATATTCTCGTTTTGAAATGTCCTGCAGTCCTTCTCATATAAATTTTTGGGCAAAATCCACATGTTAGTTCATAGACCACTGATTTGTTATTTTCGTCCGTTTTTCACTTGTTGGTCTTGATCAGATTCAGTTCCTCATTAAAATTCTCCTTGGACATTGGCAAGTTAATTAGTCTATGAATCATACTGTCGTAACCTCCTAGCTTATGTTACTGAAGGTGATTAGAATAGTTGTTTATAGTTGTGTCTATGTAGGTTGGTTTCTGGTAAACTGTGACATTATGTTTGATTGTTAATTTTTGTGATTGTCATATCCGAAAAGTTTGTTGATTTATTAGTTTCTGCCTATATTTTGAACTTTATGTCTTCATGAATTGAACTGATGTATTGAAGAAATGACTGTAATTATCGATGTGTTTCTGTGAAGCAGGCTGTAACATCGTCAACCAATAAACAATTTTTTGAAAAACTTAATAGTTTTTTTCGAAGTTTTGCATGTAAATTTCAACGAGGAGAGGCCTTAGACCATTTTAAGACCTTCTTTGTTATTATATATTGTGTTATTGAATTCAAAATAATTTGGGTCGAGACAATAGTGAAAGGATGTTAGAACTATGTCAACTATGAGTTTGTGAGAATTTTCTGCAAGAATTCTACAGAGTAAATTCGTGACATGGGACGAAACTAGTGTGGAATCGATATTGGAGATGTTTTTACTACTTCCTGCAAGTTTTTGATACTGAACGAAGATGAAAATTGGGTGTGGACACAAATACAGTTGTTTTTGAACATGAATTTGAACTTACTACAAATTTCTTCAAAGGGGCTAAATTAGCAGGAGGTAGCCTGCAAAATGGCTCCCTAACACGTCTATTCTGGAGCATGAGAAGAATGAACCACATATAATCGCTGCGAATCACCATTTGGTCGATGTTTTTGTCCATCTCCAACAGTTTATCGAACCACAGCTCAATCATTTTTCTTTCTGAAAAAGTCATCTCTTCCAGTGTCTAATTTCTCAAATGTTGCAGTGATGGAATCCAAAACTTACCGTTTGGAGATAAAAGCTGTTGCAAGGTCTTGGCTAGCTTGTGGTTGTACATGAAGTGTTCGTTTAAAGCTTTCATAGGATTTGCCATGATGGAAATGCTGCACGAAAATTAGGAAAGGATGTTTGAAGGTGTCATTGTGACAGACATACGCCTGACATAAATATTTGACAGCACTCATATGAAATGTTTCTAGTTTAGATTCAGTTTCATGAAATATCATTATCTGGCATCAGTACATATAACTGTATCTGCTAGAAACTGCAACTTTGTAAGTTCTGTAGCAGATTTGCTACAGGACCAGGTTGCCAAGTTTTCTCACAGTTTCAATGAAAGTTTTAATGAAGAAAAATCATGTTTTATTCGTTTAATAGTCATATAAGAACCAGAGTTTCGATCAGTAAGTTGAACCTAATATAATATACGTCGTAACTAGCAGTGTTTCCTTCTACACATTGGTTACAATCCTCTGTCACTGAATGCGGAAATGTAACAAATTATTCCTTCATTTGGTATAGGCTGGTTGCTGAAGAATTGGGCTGGAGCATAATTTCCAAACTGCACTTTCTTTTCATCTCCAGCTTTGTCAAATAATGGCATATTGTCATCATTTGCTACCAGTACTTCTTCATATACTTTCGAAGACTAAAAAAGAAACAGAGTTCGAAAATAGAAGTACCAAGCCTCATATTTAATGAAATAATATGTAGAACCGAACAGAATGAGAATCAAATTTATCAGTGATACTGATAAATTTGATTCATAGTAATAAATATATACAAAACCATATTTTCCGTAAATCATATACACAAATTGGAAGTATTCCAAATCTTGCACTCACAACAATATCTCTCAGTGCACCAATATCTGGTGGAGGCATCGAATTGAAAGGTTCTCGAACTTTCTGGCACTGCAGCATCAGAAGAATAAACCACATGTATTCGTTTCTAATTTCTTTATCAGCCATACTTTTGTTCATCTCCAATAATTTGTTGAACCAGGTCTGCATCATTTTACGTTCTGTTAAATCAAAATCATGATTAAAGAAAGTTATCTCGAGTTAAAGTAAGGCAGGAGATGTCATTCGTGACTTTCAATGAAGAGCAAGTGATACTAGGAACTAAATATTGAATATTGTTTTGCATGGAGCTTGGAGAAACCTCTTAAAACCCCTCAATATCACTTTCTGACAAGTATTCATCGTTTATTGCTAACACAAAAATCAATAATGCTTACCATTAGGAGGAAGCAGCTGGACCAGTGCCTTTGCCAGCATGCTGTTGTAGAAGAAATTCTCATCTAGAGGATTTGCCATTTTCACTGAAATTTTGATTTGAAATACTTCAATCTCGAGATGACACTTGACACAATAAACAATAGTAATAAACTTCATAGATGGCAAGCTCTTGCTCCACCGAGCTGCAGGCCCTGAGACTGGTCGAAAACTCAATCTCAGAGCTGAACAACAGGAAGACAGTCCATCTCGTCAAACTTTTGGGGTGTCATATGACACTTCTCAAATTTATTACAAATTATGAAATTATAATACAATAAAAATGAATTGGAGCTCCGGGGCGACTTCACTGATTCCAGTGGCGCATTTGCTTTTTCAGCTGCAGGAAAACCCGGAAAAACCTGGAGCACCACGTCATCTGAAGATCTTGATCTGCCAATGTCCTTTCTCTCATGAAACAAAATGTAGGGTGTCTCCAGAGGCTCCAATGAATTCAATACATCGCCAAAACACGTGACACGACTATCATCGGACTTAAACCAGTCCGTTTCGTCTTTGACCAAGGCGTAATAATGACCAAATTCAACGCCAGAACCACAGTGAACAATGACTGCATGAATATTAATCGTGGTCTGCTAGATTGAAGTGTTCATCTATTTTGAACCTTAGTCATTCGTTTTTGCTACCTCTTGAACATTTACTAGAAAGTAAACAAGTGAGGATTTTTCCAGCAAAAGATCTACAAACACAAGACGAGATAGATGTATTATTATTATTATCAAGTCCGGAAGTTCCTCTTGGAAGACCCTACACAAAAACACATGACAATAAAACGAACGAAACTAAAACAGTCAAGAACTTTGGATGATTTCTATATGTTTCCTGTTTACTTGGAAAGAAAATGACCCTATGTAAATTTTTCCTTTCATACTAAAAAATGCATGACATTCTTTCGAAACTGATTTGATTATTTTTACCGAAAATGTATGACTTGCCCTTGATACGTATTGTTTTATACGGGGAGATTAATATTATTGTCGTACGCGTGTCAGTTCCAGACCCGTCTGCTTGATTGTGTGTTTTAGAAACTCTCAGTATATTTGTTTTTCCGAATCCATCTCCGATAGACGGAAATGGTAAATAACAAAGTTCTCAGGACGTCACTAGGAGATAAAAACGGAGACAGTGTTTGTACAAAATCTCTCGGAACCGTCTGCTGTCTGGAAGAGAGGAGAGCCGATACCAATTTCCACTTGAAAGGCTGCGTTTTAACACACACGGTATACGAAGAAGACATTGACACACATTAATACAGTCTATTATTAGTTTTATTGATGATCGTCTGTAAATAAACGTCTATTTTCACTTACAACACCGTTAGCATGAGTTGATTTTCAATATGTTGTATTATTCTCTCTCTTTGGAAGATTCCAATATCCTGTTGGATTAAAAAATCATGAAACGAAGGTCGCTTGTTCCGCAGAAAGTTGGAAAACCCTTTTTTGAACGAATTCTTTTCAAAGTATTTGCAAGGCTTCAACAGCTCTTTGATGAACGAAAACACCAAAGGGATTCACGAAAATACAGAGTAATGAATCAAATACAGAGCAATCAATCACTATCGATGCCGAAGATATCTCAGAAGCTTCAAACTGATTTTTCCTGCTGTATAACTTAGCTATTTAGGAAGCTAAAACCAGAACCATTTCTATTCTAGAACGCCTTTATGTTACTTTTACTGTTATAAGCCAATGTCGGTAGACAAGTGAGACAGTTGTCCCTGTAAAATTAATGACAATGTCGTTAACATAGATGGGAAATACATGGGGAAATGTATGGATCCCTGGGAAACCCCTTCCCAAAGAAACACTGTACTTGAGCTTTTTGAGACGACTATCATAACACCAATAATGATTTAACGTTGCTAATAAGGTTACTGATGATGGTTGGAGATGTAGTAGGCCATTTTAGTATGACTATTACCAACATTTCCAAGATCCTAGATGGTCATGTTTATATATAAGTTCTCAAATGTTGAATTGCAATAAAATGATGAGTACATATCAAAATACTTCTACTTTCTTCTCAGTTTCAGTATCGTCGTTTATTTATAGATCACAAACAAATTTAATTTTAACCAAATCATTTTGAATTAATGTTTTCATCAAATTTTATTTAGACAGGATATGGACTACTACACGAGGAGTGACAAAAACATATTCATGTATTTTGTTTTTCAGATAATCCATAATAATAATAAATGGGCTTTATTCATTGACATACATTGTTGATAAAGAAGAAGTAGATACAAAATTCAATGAAAGGGCCAAGTTCAACCGAGGCTGTTTTGCAACCTAGGGAATAGCATGTATTATATAGAAATATAAAAATAATTTCCTACTATACATTGGTAAGTTCATAAGTCTTTGTGAAAGTAAGAAAAAAACAAAGGTTATAACTTCTAAAGTAAATATTAAAAATCTATTCAGCTTAAATAAGGTAAAATATATAGCAAAACATACACAAAAGTGAGACAAAGGGAAAACCATATGAGCAAGCACAACATAAATATATTATCTATCTAGAAGACTTCAGATATGTTTTCAACTTTTCTTGAAATTATATATGGAGTAGTACCTAAATTTACTGGGCAGAGCGTTATATTGTTTGATAGAGTTGTAAATAAAACTACGAGAAAAGCAGGCAGTCGAGTGTTTTGGAATAATAAACGTGTGACGGTTTCGTGTCCTCGAATTATTCTGAGATTTGAAAGTTTTATATCTTTCATAAATATAATTTGGCTTTTCTAAATGAGGAATTTATGTGTATTGACGAGTAGATGGAACTGCCAGGTTTCAGCAATCGGTAACCAACCTGACTCCTCGAACTTGGGGGATGTATGGTCGAATTTTCTCACACCATAAGAAAGACGAATGCGATTGTTTTCTATTTTTTGTAAGCGATTTACATCAGTTTGTATCAAAGCAAGCCCGTAGATTATATCGCAATATGCTAATCTAGACAAAGTTTCAACTTCAATTTGGAAGTCATAATATCTCTACTGATAGAGTTTACGTTAGATACTGTACGAGCTAAGACAAAGTGAATTTATATGTTTGTGAAATACCAGATCAGCATCTAGCCATAAACCCAAGTCCTTGCTTTCTGTAATTATTTGTAGTAGGTCTTGTCCAAGTTGGATTTCAATTCTTCCTTCAATTTCCCATCGTTTGTGTTTCGGGCCAAAAAGTATCAGCTGAGATTTTTTAGAATTCAATTTCAGGTTATGGGCTATAGATAGATCCAGTAACTTTTGTAGATCGCTGATTTCAGAAATAATATCAGCAGTTAGTATAGCTAAGTACCCAAAGTAGGGTCACTCTAGCTTGGGTACTCGGACATGAGGTCACAAGGGCAATGAAGAGGTCGATGTTCTAGCCTGTGAAGGCGCATCTAGGCTATGATCAGCCCAGAACCCTTCTGCGGGGTAGCGGAAGCATGTATAAAGATATCCATAAACTCATGGATGCAAGCCGAATTCTGAATGTTACGGAGTAACTGAAGAGAAGGAACAATCCAAAACATCACAATACAACACCCGATTCACGTCATAGTAATCAAATTGGCATCATCAGGAGAAGGAGTAGAAAAATTTCACTGGATACACTTTTACTTCCACTTTTAGAAAGGAAGAGAAGTTGAACTATATAAAAAGAATCAAGTAATTGATATTTGAGGGATTCAATTATTAATTCGGTTTGGAATGATCCAAATTATACGCTGGTGCAATGAAAAAACTCAGATGCAGTAGTAGACGACGTCAGACATCGAAACCTGCAGAACACGGTCAAAAAAACCCGGAAAAAGCTTTCACACAATTTAATTTCAGTTCGTTTCTGTATCCAATTTGATAATTTTTGCGTTTTTTTCCCCAATTTTTGTGGTATTCGACACAGTATATTCAAACCTGTATTTATTTGCATAAAAATAGTTGAATGTTTGACAGAGGAATAGCACAGATGGTAAATTTCAAAAACGATAATATAAATAAATAATTAAAGAAGGGGTTTCTGAACGTCAGTGTTGATTTCAAAAATATATTAACCCTATAATCACGAGTCATTTGAATGATGTATTCGTCAGGCAAATTACTAGTGCGTACGGAAATTATAAGTATTGTAACTGTGAATGAAATTGTTGATTTGTTTGTTTTGATTCGCTTCACGAAATTACAGAAACATATACAACAAAAAATGCAGTCGCCAAGTAATAAGTGACCCCGACAGATGAACCTCCGATAGGCAGAATGCATTTAAGATGGGACTTGGTACATTTTCAGCGATTCTCGAAAAAAAACACGAAGTGCCGATTATATTTTTCAAGTTTTTGTGATATCAGTTTTTCCGCGCCATTGAAATTGTGGTGAGACGTTTGAATGCTGTTCTTCGGGAAAAGATATTCGATTTTTTCCTATGCAACTCAACTAGTTTTCTATTAATTTCGCATATTGCAAATATTACTTCTGAAGCGCTTAAAATGTTGGGTTTCATTCTTAGATCTGCAAATGAATTATCTTTCACTTCAATAAAAGTTATATATTGTTCAATTGTTAGATTAATAATCGAATACAATTCCACAATTTGGTGCCCTTCTTATCATGTGGATATTGATATGCTTGAAAGTGTTGAAAATAAGTTTTTAATGTACTCTGCATATAAACTGGGATATCATATTGGTGAATATGACTATAAAATTACATTGGACATTCTTAACTTGAATACTCTGGCACATAGAAGATTAGAATCATATCTTACACTAATTCATAAAATAAATAATCAATGGTAGCATCAATTCCCCGGAACTTGTCGAAATAACAACTTTAAATGTGAATCCAAGGAGAACAAGAAATTGAGACTCTTTTGTCGCACCAACTATGGCCGGAATTAATCTGTAGGTAGAATTTTGAGACTTGCAAATACATACAATGTAGATTTAGAATTTTTTATTTCTTCTTTGGAAACATTTTATATATTTTTTCCTTAAACCTAGCTTAGAATACAGTGTGAACTTGTTGATTATCTTGTAAAAAATAAGCATTGCCGTAAATAAATAAATAAATATCTAAATAGACATAATAAATATAACAATACTCAACAAATATGACAAAAAATGAAAGTTAGGTAGTCTAAAATACCCAGTTACAAAATAGTGAAACAAATATATCTTTTCATCATACTCATATAGTAAGAGGTCACCTCTCTGAAGATTTTGTCAATATGCTTTTGAATTTTTTCAGGGAAATTGTATTTTTTACTGTGTTTGGTAGATGAAACTACTTTGATTTATATTGATCTGTTGGATCAATATTATAATGATGGATATTTTCAATTTTAAGTATTATTTCAGAATTTTTATGATCAGTTAACATTCCATGTATAAATAAATCAATTTTCATTCAATGAAGAGTGTATTTATTTTGGCATGGTCAGTTCCAGGTGGGATCATTTGTATTTACATTTTATTAGATTGTTTCGCAACGTTTTCAGTGGTTTCAAACTATTATGAGTAACAGGACATCAGATATGTATCATGTAAACTATTTCTGTCTATTTTATTCACTGGTAGTTTTTTAATAAGAAATAATTTTGTCATCAACAAAAACCGATACGTTGGTATTATCAATTTTCTCTCTAGGAACACACACATCATTTCTGAAATTCAGGAATGATTTATGTGACTATTTCCATACTGACATCATAATTAGATCATCAGGAAAATATTCGTGTATGACAAATGAATTTTTCATTTGGACATCGAACTCACAAGCCATTTTGTATATAGTAGGAATCATGAGTATCTTATGAAATTGAGAATGTTTTCTTTCTGAAATTTAATACTTCAGCACTTACTTTAACCTTCCTGTTGAATAGATCTGTATATTTATTTTTTTGATAACTAATGATTTCAGATGAAGTAATTATTCAATTAAATTTGTTTTGATGAACTAGTGAAACTTATAACATGAAATAAGGGTTTCTTTTAATTACTTCGTGTTATCTTATTCTTATTATTGAATGTCCAAAAGCTTATTTTTGTAAATCAGTCATATACCTCAATTTTCTTTATCATTGGAGAAAATCAATTTTTGTGCACTATTTCCAACAGCTAACAGTATCTCAATTCGACTATGAATTAAAGTATCTATTATTCAGAAGATTTGATTCACTTCACTCACATTAGATAATGAATGTGTTTCAATTAGTGGGTCAGTAATTTCACCAGAGTAGACTTGATAATTGATTGGCTTATTGCCAGACATTTCAAAAGGACATTAGGTCTTATTGCGTTGCCTTATTGACGGGTATTGTAGATGACATCATAAGGAAGAAGAAGTTTAGGTTGAGAATGAACGAAATCTCGACTTTTAGAAAAGACGACAACCAAGACAAATATATCTCAGTTCCATACCACCAATATACGAAGAACATTACAGAGCTTTCTAGGAAATCCAATGAACAAAGTCGAGAATTCGGAAAGTTCTGGGATTGCGGTGTAAAATATCAAGGACAGACTAAAATATCTATTAAAATAAGATACAAGGAACACTTGGTACACCTAAAATATGGAAGATCATCATATTTTGCAACAAAACCATTCCATAGACTTTAGTTCATCAAGATTAGTTAGACAAGTTAACAACAACAGCCATCTCGATGCCTATGAGGGTGTAGAAATAAGTAAACATAATAATATTATGAATAACGATGGTGGGCCGATACCTTATAGTATACTATATAACTTTTTGAAATAATATTTCATAATCAGATTTACCTGAGCATCAAAAAATAAATGGCTCTCAAATAATACCCCCTTCAATTCAATCAATTTGTAGTTTTGCTCCAATTATTTTTATGCAGGATTCGGATCTAATCACAGCTATGAAAACATCATACGATAAACTTGTATTATTCCATCAGGGTTTTTTTCCAATAAGACATATTATCAACTTATAGCAATTACAAGAGATTAATCACGTAGTGTTTACAGTCTTGAAAATTATTCCTTTGGCTCTATGGAACAGCCTTATTGACATTGCTGATGCACATGCAATGTTTTGATTATAATAAACTATAGATAACGAATATTAATTGGGTCCGGGACATACCTAGATCAAACATTAGCCTCAGTGGGTAAACATGATCCTGAGTGTATTGAAACGGTCACCTTCTCTCATTATACAAGATGATGAAGAAAACGGTAATAATGTTTGACACTTTCGTGATATAATTACAAATTTCCCTTCGAAAACAAAAGTGGCAAATATAAACCATTGCGAAAGTTTAAAATTTTTTTGCAGTAAGTTAATTTTCATAAATGTACTTATCTCGAAAATGTTACAGATCTCATGGAAAACACACCTGCGGCAGATTTTGAAACGGCAGTGCATTTCGCAAGTGAGTATTTTGATGTCTTAATTGTTCTAATTTTACTTCTGGAATCTAATGTCGTACTTGACGAATCAGTTTTCTTGCATGTTGTTTTAAAGGAGGATTCAAAAACATTCTTATATTTTTTTCGCGTCAGGAAGGCAGTACAATTGAAGCAGATGGTTGTTGGTGAATGTCCCATTTTGAAATTGTTCGAAAAAAATTATTAGTTTCAGAAAGAACAATGTGAATTGAATCTGCTTCATAGTATTTATTATATTTTTACCCACTTTGACAAGACAGTGACTCTTTTTAGGTTTGCCGAAAGCTTTCGGCAGAATTCCGTTACAATTTCTAGTATTTAAAAAGATTGGCTTGAGCCTGTCTGTTTTCCAATCAGTTTAATCTGTTCGAAACAAATTGTTACAAAATATCATGTTGATTGCGACTCTGATATTAAGCAAATTTTTAACGATGGAACTCACTACACTTTATAAAATAATGTATTGGGTTGGATCGTTTTTTCATAGTTACTATAAATCTTTTGTTTCTAATTTTTTTTCTGCATACTAACTGTACCTGCTATTGCTTTTTTGAAAATTCTTTTGCATACTCATAATATCATTGTATACAAGATCTCAACTTTCTGTTATACAATGTAACTCATCAATTTGTTACTACCATTCAATTTTGTGATAATCAAATATTGTGAAACCACACACAAGAGATTTACTTCTTTGTGATCTTATATTGTATTTACCTGTCAAAATGTCACGTATTATTGTTGAATATTGATGAATGAATCACTAATCATTAACTGCAAGTGAATAGATTATGACAAATATGTTTATGGCCACTATATGCGCGTTAGAAGACTCTGAGAATGCTTTTCTATATTGAATGTGTGTTTTTCTACAAAATCCACATGGAACCATTGGAATTTTGCCGCAAGTGTTGCAAATTTTATTTCTTTTGACCATGTAAGAAGTACCTAACTTCAAATAATATTGATTTTTGATAAAATAGTTTGTGTCTGTTGATAACTTGAAAGAAAAGAACTGTTTTTGTGTACAACAATGGACAAATTGCATAATGTTTACAGAAAAAAATCTATTCGTTCATTAACTCGTTCGTATTTCTTTTCCTTTGGCTAAAACTTTTTTATTGGTTTCAGAAAACGGAAGGTTTCAGAAATTATTGTTAGCAGTATGCGGAACAGTCTACGCTACATGTGCCATCAGTACTACAACTTTGTCTTTCGTTTTGCCATCAGCAGAGTGTGATTTCAACTTATCTTCAATGGACAAAGGAAAACTATCAGCAACTCCTCTAATCGGTGAGCCTAGATTAAAATTACAGTACTGAAATCTAAGGAAGTCTCCTCATATATCGGTAGTTATTTTAATGAGTATTCTCTTCATTTCCAGGAATGGTACTGGGCTGTGCCGTTTGGGGTGCCATTGCAGACAGCAGAGGTAGAAAACTGGCGCTGATCCTCTCTCTTCTTGTAGACTTCTCAGCAGCAATTACCTCTTCGCTAGCTATGAGTTTTCATTTGTTCCTCATTTGCAGATTTTTCAACGGTTTCGGGTGAGTTGATGTAAGAAATTTAATTCTGCGGAATAATATTTCAGCTGTTCAGCATGTTCATATTGTTGGAGACGCATACAAGTTGGGGGTCTACTTTAAGGGGACAAAATAGAAATTGATGAATAAATACATATTTTCTTGACAAAAATCAAGATTTGCCTTATTTCTGTACATGCAGAGTATTTCACAGACTGTCACAAAATTTTACTAAGAGTTACGAAAATTTATAGTGAAAATGACCCAAGCTCACTAAAAACAACATTTGAAACAGTATAATTTTCTGATATCTGATAGCGTTGGTTTATTTTTACAAATACAACCTCGCCTTGTTTGAACATCAAAGCTTTCAGCCATGCTGATTTCTTTTCTGACTTGAAACTTAGTTGCATCTTGCCTCAACTCAATTTATTCAAGTAAACCCTACAACAACTGTGAGTTGACAGATTGTACAGTTACGATGATTGACATGACTATATTCAACATTCTACAGATTTTTTTTCTTTCCAGAATCATTGGAGCAACTAATATTATTTTCTCGTACTTGGGAGAATTTTTGTCGGTGAAAAACAGAGACGCAATGTTGGGCAAACTGGAAATTTTTTGGAATTTCGGAATTGTGATCTTACCGGGTAAGTTGAAGATATTTGAAAAGCAAAAAAGGTTCTAGAAGAAAAACGCACAATTGTCATGTTTGGGCCATAAAATCAATCACTCACAAACGCCCTTTTGACTTTCCAGAATAGGTCTATTAGCTGTGCACTTCGAAATAATTAATTGACATTCGTTCGAAAGATCTAGTAAATCTTCATAATCACTCTAAGGTTGATTATTCAATACATCAACTGTGGAGAAATACTGTTTCAATATTCATCTGGGATTTTATACCTTCTATCTTCTTCCTTGAACCAACAACAGTTATGTCCGATTTACTCTCATTCATGATGAAATAGTGATTTTCATATGTTGCAATAATAGTGATGATCGACTGTATTGCTAAACATGCGCCAAACTAACTGACTGTTATAAGGAAACAAGTATATCTGAGGCACCAATCAATCTAATAATAACACTGATGATCTTCAACCTCTGACGTAGGCACCAAACTCTTACGAAGGTTAAAAAAAGATGAACACTTCAAATAGCCGACCACTAATATAATTTTCATGCAGTCATTGTTCACTGTGGTTCTGGCGTTGAATTTGGTCATTATTACGCCTTGGTCAAAGACGAAACGGACTGTCATGAAGTGTTCTGGCGATGTATTGAATTTATTGGAGCCTCTGGAGACACCCTACATTTTGTTTTATGAAGGAGAGGACATTGATAGATCAAGATCTTCAGATGATGTAGTGCTGCAGGTTTTTGCCGGGTTTTCCTGCAGCTGAAAAAGCAAATGCGCCACTGGAATCAATGAAGTCGCCCCGGAGCGCCAATTAATTTTTATTGTTGTTTTAATGTAACTTTTGTTTAAGAAAATATTCTATTTGAAAGTATTATTTTCCCAACCGTACTTAAGGTATTTGGCTATCACTAGTTTTGCTGACTTTGGGTTGATGATGAGGTTAGTCCAATGACTGTTTTCATTTTTGGATTCTCCAGGAAGAATCAGAGGAAACTTATCAATTTTTTTTTCAGTTATTACACGTTGATCATGTGGTTTCCTGAAATCTTCAGCAGATTTTATGAATTTGAAGTCCAGCACCCCAACCTCACTGCTGGGATTGTGGAAGTGTTCCAAAACAACGCAACTAGGAACAACATATTTTTCAGCTTCCTCCCCTGTGATCCTTCTATCGATTTCAGAGTATTTCTCGATACGTTCATCATAGGATTGAGCTGCATTCCTACTTCAGTATCGTTGAGTTATTTCATGAAGAAGGTTGGCAAAATATCTGTACTAGGTATGTGTGATACAAATTTATCGAAGTTCCGGTTACAATTTCGACAGGAAAAACCATGGATACATATTATTACTGTTCCATATTCAATTCAAATAGAAAAGTCGTTGAAGAACAATATACTTCCTTAGAAGACCTTGTTACAACGATCAATTTACTGAGCTTTGTTTATTAATTCACTAGATAAGAATATATCCTACTGACTGCGCCAAATTTCATCAACTGTTTGTTTTTCAGTATTCTGTCTGATGACGTCTGGTCTAGCAACGTTGTCACTAATTTGGGTACGCAGCACTTGGCAAACGTTGGTACTGTCTTGTTTCTTTGAAGCACTCACTAGTATTCTTGAATCAGTCCTTTTTTGTGTTGTGGTGGATCTATTTCCAACTAATCTGAGGTGAGTTTCTGGTTCCATGATTTTGTGTTCATATATTTGACCACTTTGCAGAGTTTGCTTTACATAAGATGCTTCTCAGACAGTAGCAAGAAGTGAAATTGAGGCTAGCAGAATATTTTTAAATTGGTTTTTACATACATAGTTTTCAACTCAATTCAAAGAAATAGGAACATAAATAATTCTTTATTGTTATATGAAATATATTGTTTAGGAGTTATGTTCTAGTATCTTCAAAATTCACTCTGAAATATTTTGTTTTTCAGGGCTATAGCGTTGGCCATTACTGCAATGTCTGGGAGACTAGGAGCAATTTTGGGAAACATAATATTTGGGATTCTCATCGATATCAACTGTTTGATTCCTATATATCTCTTTGGACTTTTGTTGTTTGGTAAGTTCACCAAAATAAACAGAGTTTGCAAAGTTACAATCTGAGTGCAAAACAGATCACTAGTCACAAAAAGTCTATGAATATAGTCTATATTGCTATAGTTGTTGATTTCAAAATGCCATTGCTTACTTTTCCACAAATGAAATGAACACAACGTCATCATTGATATCTTTTTACAGCTAGCGGCTTGCTTTGTCTTGCTATTCCTCGTACGGAAAATTACATTGTTATACATTGAGGATGACAGAAGAATGAAGGGCTTTGAAATAAACGCAAAGGAACTGTTACAGCCGTGACAATATGTTAGAAAAAGAAAACGAAGATGCTGAGCTTATGACACTGCAGCCAGATGGTTGAATGTACTGACGACTTACTTCTCTCTCTCTCTTTCTCTCGCTAGAAAATTTGAGAGTGTGTTTATGGTGAAGATTTCAAGAACTCGTTTTCGGATTAGTTGTAAACCCCTAAAAGAGTACAAATAGTTAAATATTGTATAAAATTCAATGCAAGAAATATATATACTCTTGAATTTTTTTTTATTTGTCCTCAAAACCTGTTTCCAGTTTCCTGAACATTAATGAACCTCCCTAAAAAAAAGACTTTTGGAATGTTATTCATATGAAGATCACAGGTCAATAGAAATCTCTTGTTCCACAATCTCGACGAGGAGCTTTCTCTTGATATTCAAAAATTCATAATATTCAGCTCCACTATATGGGTGGGCATTATAATAAATCTGAAAGAACCTCCATGTACTATTCAAATTTGAGTTCAATTTGAAAAGGGACTTTCAAAACTGCTAGTACATGACAACAAGTGTTACGAAATCAGCTGTAAGCGGACTGTAATAGTTGTAAGCGGACTGTAATAGCTCGCTACAAAGGAACATCTTTCAGATATTCGATAGACCAGTGAAGCCAGTGAAATGGGCGAGGAATGTTGAAACTTTCGAGTCCGATACAGGACAAGTTTAGATCCCTCAGAAAGTTTAGAAATTAAAAAATGTGGTATAAGATCTATGAAACGTGTCCCATTCTTGATAGTTCAATGTTCGCACTAGTTCGTAATTTCAGTATCCATTGAAAACATTTTACCAACACCAGAACAAAAGTTACGGTCTCTTTTTTTTCTCCACGTCGACTGTTGGACAGAAGCTTAATGATTTAATGTATCACAATAACACAAACGTTTGAATAGTGATAAGATTTGCAAATGCTGTACCAAAATCATTGTATATTCTTTTAAAATATCAGTTGATGATTCTGACTAGACGATGCATCAATTCAAAACACTAAAGAAATGAAAAAATCCAGTGTAGCAACAACTAGTCTTGATGAAAAAAGGGTGGAAGATTTGAGAAAATCGCAAGATGCTTCAAAAAGTGAGTATAAATATGAGAAACATTTAAAACTGAAGTTTCGATGTACTAACAATAAATTTATTGAAAATCGTGTCAGTTTATCAAATACCTAGGAATGTTACGATAATCTTTCAAAAAAACTATCCTTTGTTGAGGATTTGAAAAACTAGGTTAGGTTAGGTCCAAAGTGAGTGGGTCTATTCGACCCTCCACCGCAATCCGCAAGGGTTTATTGTGGCTCACACCTATTCTGTGAACCAACAACTATCTGCTCCTCCTTCTTCTGTCTTCTCTTTGAAAAACTAACTAACTAAGAATACTTTTATTCAAGTGAATGAATTGGCCGACTTCGAAACTGCCGTCGAAGCAACAGGATTTGGAAAGTTCAACTTGATATTGCTGTTGATCAGCGTCCCAACTTCGTTATCACAGGCTTTCGAGCAAATGACGTTATCCTTTGTGATTCCAATAGCTCAGTGTGATCTGCATTTAACACTGGAAGATAAAGGAATGCTCAACGCTATTGCTTTCGCAGGTAAGTAGAATTAAGTCGAGTCCAAAACTGGAGACCCACATTTTTTTTTGGAATTGGTAAAAACAAAAGACCCAATTACATCTTGTAGATTCATGGAGTGCTAGTGTATTCAACTGATAACTTTGAATTGGAACTAAATTTCTGCCTTCTGCTTTTTTCAGGAATGATATCAAGTGGTTTTGTCTCTGGATACCTATGCGATTTTTTTGGAAGAAGAAAAATGATAATTATTGGACATACTCTACAAGCTTTCTTCACCATTCTGGCGTCTTTATCTCAGACTTTTCCAATGTTGATGGCAGCAAAATTCTTCAGCGGATTTTGGTAAGCAACCACAATTCTACAAGTCCATAAACAGTGTACAATTTGGAAAAAAACAATCATTATACTTTCCTGAAATCCCTGAATATGGAACATTGATGTAAAGCTCATTGAACAAAAACATTTATCATTAAATGTTGTATTTTCGTATGAAAATTTTGCTGTGGTTTTGAAATATTCAGCAATAGCTTCGTCTAGTCTAGAATCTAGATGATCTGAATTGCTTTTTTCTCTCAGGCCATTGATGTTGAAGGACTTCACATCAAGATTTACGAGTCTTTTTGGCTAACTTAGTTATTTTCAAGGATCTCTTTTGAATTCAACACAATGAAGAAACCTTTGCAGCTACCAAATTATTGAAAATGCCGTCAAAAATGGGGTTGCTATGGTCTGATGTCAACTAACATTTTTCTTGGTCTTTAAAGTAAAGTGTACAAAAAAAACTGTAATAGCTTCGTGAGTTTCTCACCAGTATAGTCTTCTATCTTTATATTATTGTCCATTCAAACGACTGTTATATAATAACTGCGCGTCCTAGTCATAACCTGTTATTTCTAACATCCGGATACATTTCTTTCCAGTTTTAATGGGGGTTTCTCTGCATTCACTTCGTACCTCACCGAATGGCATTCTTCCAAATACAGGGGCGTGGTGCAACTTGTACGAGGTACTGCTATAGCATTTGGGAATGTAGTTGTACCCCTATTAGCCTGGGGCATTCTTCCCCAAGGCATATATTTTCGACTGTTTGGTGTCTCAGGTGCGGAACAAAGATTTTTTTATCAGGATATCTGGAAATAACATTTATTATTCTGTTTTAGACATCCACTCCTGGAATGTATTTATTCTCGCCACGATATTGGCTCCGTTAATTTGTGCTTCGACGTCTTATTTTGCCCCGGAGAGTCCCAAATTTCTGATGACCAGTGGAAGGAATGAAGAAGCTCTGAGGGTTTTTAGAATGGCTTACAGCATGAATACCGGAAAATCTGTAGAATCATATCCAGTACGTATAGTCTAACATTTCATTATTTGTGATGCACTGTTTGGAAACTCTGGTGTAGAAATGAATATTAATGACGTTTTTTTGAGACCTTAAACTTTATTATATTGTTTGTTTGAGACCTCAAACTTTATTATGTTAATTGAGATGAATTTTACATTCGTGGGCCGTCTGTTGAAGATTTATAATACTAGTGACTAGAACTTTAGTAGGAGTGGCCTCACTTCAGGCCACTCCTACACCCCACTCCTCCACTTATCGTCATTACCCAGTCGACCAATCAGAAGCTACCGCGTGTACAGCGGGAAATTCAAATTGTTCTCACTTCAACGAGACAGACCACCTATCCAAGCTCACCATCAAATAGTCGAAGATATCTCACATACATTTTGTTTTATTCAAATTCAAAGATAGGAAGCGCTTATGAAAGAATCAAGAATCTCTGTAGGCAGATACTATATGACCATTTGATTTTTCTTTGATCAACTTCATATTTCTTTGAGTATTTCTTATTTCAAAAATGAAACAGTTATTGGTGAAAGTAATGAAATCATGATTACTATCTGAAAGAAACGCGATACTAATTAAAAATTGGTCTTTATTTCCTCAGATCAAACAGCTTGTGGATGAAAGAAGTCATATGACAAGGAGAAAGTCTGTCGAGAAGATCAAGAATAGTTTTCAGGCTTTGAAGCCTCTGATCACACCACCATATCTCTACAAACTGATACTTGTGTGTATTACTGCATGCTTTATATTGATGGGGTAAGAATATAGTCATGAAATTTCAAACGAATCAATGATTCTAGGAGTCACATTCTATAAAATATAAGCATGAAGTCAAGAAAATCCGATTATATTATTTATGATATACTCGACATCGTTTCTGTAACACGTTTCTCAGAGAATTTCCTGCTAGCCAAAGTGGAAGATTGACAGTTTTTTAGGGTCGGGAAGCAACTATTATGGTGAGACGAAAATGTTCTGAAATCGCAACAAATCAATTTATGCATGTTGGGAAATCCCAACCTTCTCCTGGTTCTTTCCCTTTCCTTATTACCTCTCCTTTTTTTTCTTCATTTTTATTTAATTTTTTTATTAATTTTTTTTTTATTTTCATGGCTCAAAATGTCCCAACTTTTCCCAAGTCGAAAAAGCAGGGGGGAGGCCCCTCCATCCCCCCATGACGACGGCCCTGTGTATATGTATATTATAACTATGTAATGTTGTTTATATTCTAGATAAATTCGGTTATTTTTTCATGGAACACAAATTTTAAATAGCACTTAGACACAATAAAAAGACACATTGAAACAACGGGGGTTTTTATTTTATAGAAACCATTCCTTGAAGCTATGGTTTCCTCAACTTCTTCAGAGCATCAACGATTATCAGCAGTACAATAATGGTTCCAGTTCAGGAATGTGCGAGATCATCGACTTTTTGAATGAAAAAACCACAACAACGTCAGAAGCTTGCGATGTGGTGAGCTTGATCTTTTTATTCCAAAAACTTACATTATAGGAATATATTGTGTCACAATTCTTCTGGCTCCCAAAATTTCTATGTTGTGTATACCTATTTGGAACTACTTTTTGGGTCCCCAAAACTATTATTTTGTTTTTCCACGAATTGAAAAATGTTACCTATATACTTATACTTAAGAAAAAAACTGAAACACTAGATTGGGCGACAACCCATCGCGATATGATTCACAAAAATATTGATTTTTAAAACAAATGTGCACCAATATATCTATTTTAATTTTTTTTTTAAATGTTGACTGTTTCAACAGTTCTCATGTATATTTTATAATAGTTATTGTTCATGTTCATTCTTAAAAATTCATCTCATTGTGTTAAGCCTCAGTTGTAATCATTTCAGTGTTTTACATAACCCATGTACGAGGTATCAACCTTCTATGGGATTCACCTACTTATTTACATCTCTTCTTTTCTTCTTCATGAATTGTAACTATAATTTATCATTACTATCATCATAAAATGGTTGCAACACAGAAATAATCCATCATATCTGTTCGAAGAAGCTACTGTATAGCGAAACATATACTCTGCTGTTCAAAAAACAAGGTGATTTCTCATTTTCCTCAAACAATATTTATTTATTCATCAATTTCTATCTGTGGATGAATTCATACTTACTATCAGCATTGCACCCGTGCGGAGCTGGGCGAGTCGCTAGTCAGTACATATAGAGTTCATTAATTTTTTAATACTTTGATTCCTATTTCAGAATCTGGATAATTCGTCAGTCTACATCAATGCCATAATTATCGGATGTGTACAAATAGCACAGTTCACTATTGCAGGATTTTTCTTGAGGTTATTGGGACACAGAGTATTAGCAGGTAATGTTGCCCTGCTTTCTGGTATGCGTTTTCCTCAGCTTGAGTTCTCTAAATCAAGTTATGATTTTCCACGGTCCGCATAAACACGATTTTAAATTTCAGGAATAACAACGAGCATATCAGGAGCTTGTGCCATAGGAATATATTTTGCGAAAAACTCCACAACTATCACTGCGTTATTCTCGATATTCATTGGATTCTTTGAACTGGCTGGAAATACAGTGCTGACAATGACCCTAGAAATATTTCCCACGACTTGCAGGTATATTTCAATCAAAAATTAATGTTAAATGATGAATACAAATGACAAAAAATAGCGAAGACGGTTCAACCAAGTATGGCGGAGTATACCAATAGTTTCTATTCCCAAGTAGGTACAACAATGTTCATTATTTTATTTTTTGCAGGACAACGGCTCTTTCTTTTCATCTCACTATGGCCCGTATAGGATCCATAACAGGAAATATGATATTCTCCAAGTTGATATCATCAGGATGTCTTTACCCTTTTATCTTCTGCAGCGGATTGGCTTTCAGTAATTATTTTTTCACTCTATATATAGGGTCTTCCAACAGGGACTTTGACGATTGATAACCGCCATCTTGTTGAATCTACATCTGCCAAATCAGTTGTCATTGATTCAGTCTGTGAGAGTGTGCAGGATAATCTGAGGCAGTAGATTTAGCGTCGCTCACAAGAAATCCGCCTTGGCGAATTTTGCGTCGTGACTTTGGCCTGCACCCTTACAAAATTCAACTGTGTTAGGAACTGAAGGTAAACAATCCAAAAGCGTCCAATGCATCAGAAAAAGTCACTGTTTGGTGTGGATTTTGGGCTGGCGGTCCATATTTCTTCGAGAACGACGTTGGTCAGACCATAACTGTCAACGGCGAGTACTATAGGTCGATAATTACCAACTTCCTTTGACCTGAGCTTATGCCACATTGGATATTCTGATATTCTGCACGAGCATGGTCATCTTATGGCCACCAAGATCGTGGGATTTGAATCCGTTGGACTTTTTCTTGTGGGGTGTATGCGAATGAGCCACCAAGCGCAGCGGTCCTCAAAGTCAACATAACCCATGCCGTCAGTCAAATTCAGCCTGATTTATGCGCCAAAGTCATGGAAAATTGAACGTTTTGGATGCGTTTCACCTTTCGAAGCCGTGACGGACATTTGAACGATGTTATTTTCCACAAATAATGGCATCAAGAGGTCTTTCACTTCGTTTCAATTAAATTTAAAGTTGTAAACGCCTAATGGAAGACTCTATACGTATGTATGTACATTGATTTACGTTGGGTGGTAATATGAAATAACATAAACGTTTCCATTACATATATTTCCATATCTCTTTTCCCATTTTTTCTTTATTTAAATTTCAATGAATGCTTTTTCCAGCGATTCCCATCTTGATGTGTTTTTATCCAAACTTGACGAATAAGGCTCTTGTTTAGAAACGTTCGATAGTAGCAGCATTATTGAAAGATCACCAGGAACTTCCAAAATAGGAAAAAAAAGATCGACATCAGTAGAACCTTACCTTGATGATATGAATGTTATAAAGTCGATTGAACCATTACAAACTTTCATTTTATTTCACATTTTGTCATACCTGTCATCCTTTCTCGAATTGGAATACAATTAATTGATTTATAACTACTATAATCATAATTTTTGCATTACTTTCCAAAGTATGAGTATAGGAAAGCACTTATAGAAGTATGTGCAAAAAAATATACAGAAAGAACTTAGGTAAAAAGTTTACATACATTTGTCATACATATATTACCTGCGCTGAAAAAATCGTAGACTAACACACGAATGGCGCTACTAGAATTGAATCCGTATGATTTTCAGTTAAGCCTAACCTTCAAAAGACATGTGTACAAATCTCACAGCTATCGGACTATTAGTTTATGGGATAGAACATTTTGAGCGAAGCAACTTTTGTTAGTTTGGAGAAAATTGATAAAAAGGAATTCCGTGTGATAATAAAGCATTGCTTTTAGCGTAAAAAATACTGTTGAAGCCGGAGCTTGGCTCGATAAACATTATTCGGACTTGGTAACCAACGAAAACATCAAAAAAAGTCCAAAAATCAATTTGGATGACCGTAAAGTGAAGTAGGTGGAGATTGCCGAGACTCTAATGCATCATTGATGTATGTAGAATGTATGATTGTCTGATTTTTTGTTTAAAAAACCTGAAAAAAATCATTCGGCAGTGGCAAAAAAATTATCCTTTGATTGATTATGATTGATAATGAATTTATCAAAGGACATTTCTTCTTTTGAAGACGATTTTTATGCGATTAGGATCACTACGTTGAATTCTCACTACGTCAAAATTCAAATGGCAGGAATTTGACATAGTAAGAATTCTATATAGTGATATTTCGACATAGTAAGAATTCGACGTAAGATGAATAATTTAACTAAGGTCAAGGAGTATCACTATATAGAATTCTCATTACGTCGAATTACCGCTATCTTAAAGTAATTCATGTTTCCATAACTTTCGTATTCTGATTATGTGAGTGAGACGTTTCTATATCGCATTGAAGGACAATTTCAGTTTCCTGTCAGCGTTTCGGTCTTAAATTGAGTCCAACATCAGGGCTCAAATAGGGCTCAATGACATAGGTAAGAAAACAAACGAAAATAAGGACTAACTGCATGAAACTCATACAACCAAAGACACATTTTAATATGTCGATGTCTATATTCAATAGGTGGTCTCAAGAGTACACGGCCGCATTTGGCTGAGAAAAAAATGTTGTTTCATCAAAACAAACAGCACCAGCTGACAAATCCATCGTCGCAATGACCAAAATTAACGAATTAAAGTTTGAGTTGCTACCTTATGCACCATATTCGCCAAGTTTAGCCCCCTCGGATTATTTTCTATTCCCAAACTTGAAAGTATGTCACAGTGGTCAAAAATGAATTGCCATAATTTTGGATGAATTTTATTGAATGTTATTATTATTAGTTACGAGCTGATGATGATGATGTGAAGCCATGTAGTGTCACTATATTGAAATCATTATCGAATAGGTTATGAAACATTCTATAGTATTAATAAACTGAAAATGTTACACATCGTACCTTGTTAAAACTCAGATCATCAATGATGACATTGAATATGCAATGAAAGATTTGAAAATAATTCATGTTTTATTTTTCTGAAATAACATCATTGTATAATGTAAAGAAAAGGCTTATTATTCAACTTATTACAATAAATTTGAACAACGATAAGACTGGCTGCGAAATTCCTACTGATTATTCAGAGAAATTCGTGAAGTTCGGGTTTGATAATGCTTCGAAGTCCATATATTAAAAAATGGACAAATCTAATGTGGCTACAATTAGTGAAAGAAAACAGGAAGAGGATTTGAGAAAATCGCAGAATGGATCGGAAAGTGAGTATAGTGTGAATATTTGTCACTTTCAACGAGGGTTCATTGACTTCACAGGTATACGAGGTGTGTTAAAGAAATAGAGTGAATTTTTATTTTTCTAGTTCGAGTAGAATAAAGCACTTGTCTGTTTCCTATGATACTAATCATACCTCTCAGTAGACCATTGACTTCTTTTCGTCTTTTAATGCGCTTGTCTTATTATCATTAATCAAAGATAACTTCAAAAATTGTGTAAAACTCTGTGAAACAAACCTACGATTATTGTTTTGACACTACTTTTTTTAAAGCCTCAGCCTTGGCAGATTTTGAAGCTGCTATTGAAGCAACAGGATTCGGCAAATTCAACAGGATATTGCTGTTGGTCACCTTCTCGTCATCTTTATCACAAGCCTTTGAATCTCTGACTTTATCCTACGTTATTCCAATCGCTCAGTGCGATCTCAACCTAACTTTGGAGGACAAAGGAATGCTCAATGCCATTTCCTTCGCAGGTAAGTCAACTGAATGTTCGGTTAATGTTTGTATGTGACTCGTTTTAGGAAGATTATCTGATTCATTGATAACTGTACAGAACGATCCAAGGAACAGGGGTTATAAAATATTTTTCCTTCAACTAGCTGTTCGCCCCGAACGAACGGCAACCCTTAGAAGTCGAAACAACTATAGGTTGATTTTTTTCAGGAATGATAACCAGTGGCTTCGTCTTTGGATACTTGTGTGACTTTTTTGGCAGAAGAAAAATGATAATTATCGGATATACGCTTAATGCTTTCTTCACCTGTTTGACTTCCTTATCGCAAACTTTCACATTGGTAATGGTAACAAAATTCTTCAGTGGATTTTCGTAAGTACTAGTATATGAATGCTCTTCTTTCCATGATTATAGTTACTTATACACAAAAAAATTATTTACGACGCGTAGTTTGATCAGTTAGACCAGGGGTCTCCAAACTACGGCCCGCGGGCCAAATTCGGTCCGCCAGTGTCATCAATCCGGCCCGCGACAGCCGACTTTTCCGCAACTAAGCCAGCGTACGGCAGTATGATTTTCCGCACATTTCCGCACAAGGACTGTTGATGAGTGATACAATTTAAGACTAATGGTTTCGAATCACCATCATTTTTTACAGCCTTTGACACAAGTGCAACCACTCCTTTATTTTTACCATACATATTTTTGCCTCCATCAGTTGTTATAGATTTCAAATTATTTCCATCGAAAGTTTTATTATTTTATTTTTATTTACCTTTTCGGGGCATATTTCTTCGGCTACTGCAATCAAGCATTCTTTTATCGTTTCTCCATCGGTGAATGGTTTGCCACGTTTTCCGATTTAAAGAGCCACACGAAAGCTGGCGTGAGTTGCAGACTCTTGTTCAGTATTCGCTTTGGTAAACAAAGATTGCTGCGATTTGAGTCCGCATTTCAAAGCTTCAAATTTTTCCTTCCGCAAACTTCCTGTATACTTGGAGTAACTTTGAAAATGTTTCGATTCATAGTGTCGTTTGATGTTATAGTCTTTGAGAACAGCTATGGTTTCATTACAAATTGAACATAGCGCCTTATTACTAGACTCAATCACAAAATACTGAAAGTTCCATTTTTCTTGGAAAGTTCTGCATTCACTGTCGATTTTTCGCTTCTTTTCCATACTAACAAATCACACATAAAAAGAATGAGTCAAATCAAAATACTTTTATTGACGGGTGCTACATATTTCACAATAGACAGTTTCGCTTCCTTCGCCTTTCCTACGCAGACTAACTCGCAGTTGCGCCGCTAGCCTTTTTATATGCAATTATTACTGCCATCTCGAGGTGATCGGAATACACTAGCTAGAACCAGAACTTTCTCGAACCAACGCGGTAATTCCAAATATTTAATTACGCCTAATGCCACCTAGCGGGTAGCTGAAAAAGATAGTACATAGTACCAACTACTCGCCACTAGATGTCGTTAAGTGTCACGGTACACAATAATAATTGAAATGCAAAAAAAGCGTAAGTTTGCTTAGGTCACGCACTTTGCGACTTTTCTAGTCTAGAAATATAGTTGAGGGAGAAATTGGCTCTTGGAACAAACTGAAAAAATCATTATGGCCCGAAGGCTTCAAAGTTTGGAGACCCCCGAGTTAGACTGGTTTTTTATCTGATTGAGTTGCTTTTTCGCAATTGTTTCCAGTTTCAATGGAGGCTTCTCTGCGTTCACCGCCTACCTTTCAGAATGGCATTCTTCCAAATACAGAGGAATGGTGCAACTTGTAAGAGGCATCGGTCTGGCAATAGCAAACGTCACCATACCCCTCCTAGCCTGGGGTATACTACCCCGATACATAAATTTTCAACTATTCGGGATCTTAGGTGAGGAAAGGAAGCACTGTTTCATTAGACCATCCTGCGATTCATGTATCTCCTTCTACTTCAGATATCCATTCGTGGAACGTTTTCATCTTTGTCACAATACTGGCTCCATTTTCGTGTGCTCTGGTTTGCTATTTCGAACCGGAGAGTCCCAAGTTTCTGATGACCAATGGCAGAAATGAGGAGGCTTTGAAGGTTTTCAAAATAGCGTACAGAATGAATACAGGAAAGCCTGAAGAATCGTATCCAGTAAGTGAAAGTATTTTGATCTGTAGAAAGTTCAACCTGGCTAAACATACAAAATAGGTTTTATTGTTTTCACTTCCAGGCTGTTGTATAGGCAATATTCATCTTTAGGGCCATACCATACTCCACATAACAGATTATTTGTGAATTACAAAAAAAGAAAATGTTCGGCCTGTTGGTATCCACAGTTTTGGGAGTCTCGGATTGAGAATCGTAGAATTTTTAAATTCACTCAATCCTGAAAATTACACAGGCCATAGCATTCGTCGAACTTCAGCGACGTTATTTACTGATAATGATGGAAACATCACAAATTTGAAAAGACACGGTAGCTGGAAGTTTACCAATGTGGCTGAAGGATATACAGGGTGTAACTAAATAAGTGTAAAACATTCAAGGAGGTGATTCCTCATCGAAAAAAAGATAGGATCTTTCATATAAAGAAACTTCATTGGAGCATTTGAAATGAACTTCAAAATAAGAAGAACCACACCATCTACCACTTCGCAATCCATACCGAACAGTGATATGTTTATTTGAAGAACTAAAATTTTAACATTTCAATCAGACCAATATAGCTTAGGTCCAAAGTGAGTGGGTCCATTCGATCCTCCACCGCAACCCGCAAGGATTCATTGTGGCTCACAACACTCGACCAACTAAATCCAGCTTCTTAACGAATCCGATTAGTTTGTATGGTGAGTGGTTTTTCAGGTCAGATTCGGCTCTGCCGAACTCTAAAAACCTGATTCGGTCCCCAGCGGGGCAGGCACAAAGTATGTACTCTGCTGTTTCATCATTTTCTAATTTACTGAGGGTTCGATATTTCTACACACCACCATATTTCAGTTTTTAGTATAACCAGTATATTGTTATTTGATTTTTCAGATAAAACAACTAGTCGATGAAACAAACTACTTGGAACGAAAAAAATCTGTCGGAGCCATTAAAGCTAGTTTCGCCGCTTTCAAGCCCCTGGTGACGCCCCCGTACCTCTACAAACTACTGCTTGTGTGTTTCACCGCATTCATATCATCTATGGGGTAAGATAAACAATAACATAATGGAATGTATTTCACATTTAGATCACCAAACTCTTTGTTTTTAGATTCCAGTCTCTGAAGTTGTGGTTTCCCCAACTTCTTCAGAGCCTTAACGATTATCAGCAGTACAATAATGGTTCCAGTTCTGGAATGTGCGAGATCATAGATTTTTTGAATGAAAAAACTGTAACAACATCATCAGTATGTGTTGTGGTGAGTTTTCAAAGATTTCCTTGCTTGAATTCGTCTTCTAAATTTGATATGAAACATCGATTTTTTTACAGAATCTGGACAATTCCTCAGTCTATATCAACGCTATAATCATTGGATTGGTGCAAATAGTTTTATACATCACTGCAGGATTTTTCATTCGACTACTGGGTCAAAAATTGTTAGCAGGTGAAGCATGTTCTGCTTAGGGTGTTTTACAAGTTTCGTCCGTTTTTATGATTCTACTTCAAACAGTGGTATCTCAAAGATGCATATCTTCACCGGCGCAGGAGGTTGCATATCTTGATGAGAATGTCACGAAAACCTAGGCATTGGTTTTCTCCCAAAAGATAAATGTCTCAGAATCGGATATAATAATGCCGAGGTAGACAATTCCGCTTTCTGCTTCGATAAGTTTGTTGGTGGTTAAAATGGACACAATAATGTCTTGGCACAATCATGTCGCTGGAATCGCAAATGCTTTTTCTCAAAAGCTTAGAATACTGTTTCGAACCAGAAAACTCTACACCCCTCAGCGACTTTGAATGCTTTATGAAACTCAGATCAAACCTTCTTTGAAGTATTGTTCTCATGTATGGAGCTTCGCCCCTAAACATACCCTGAAGCTGCTGGATTGCATCCAGAAAAGAGCCATCCGCATGGTTCAAACTCAAACATTACTTGCAACCTTGATGTATAGTCTGGAACATAGAGGAAAAGTTGGAGATTTGTCTGTCTGTTGTAGATACTTTCACGGGAGGTGTCAAGTAACTTGGCACTTGATTCCACCAAGAGCGGTACGTATCAGAAATACACGACGGACTGAGGCTGCTTAGCTTTTTGCGGTTCAACTCAGTACACCTGAAACTCCACTGTTTGAAAACTCTTTCATTTGGAGAACCGCGTTTATGTGGAATGAACTTCCTGGGAAAGTTTTTCCAAATTAATTCATGGTATTTAAACGGACAAAACTTTTTCAACGACCTTGTACTTTATTTCACATCATTAATTTCAAAAACCATCTGCCTCATTCACGAAAGAAGTGTACAACTGTAGATAAATATTCACTTTCAGGAATAACATCGTCCATATCTGGAATTTGTGCCATTTGTATGTATTTTGCCAAAAACTCCACTACTATTATAGCACTGTTCTCGATATTTCATGGATTTATGGGGCTTACAGGAAATACTTCAGTAGCCATTACTCTTGAAATATTTCCTACCACATTCAGGTAAGTTTCACAAGATTTTCCCAACACAAATATTGTGTCTTGTATATTATTATTTCAAGTTCCTGTACAACAACTTATTTTTTCCAGAACAACCGCTCTTTCAATGCATTTCATGACTGCTCGCATAGGATCCATAGCAGGAAATATGGTTTTTCCAACTTTGATTTCATCAGGGTGTCTTCTTCCTTTCATGTTTTGCGCAGGATTGGCTTTCAGTAAATATCCTTCAAGCTTCACTATCTAAAATAATTACACTGTTTTTAATTTTCAGTGATTCCCGTCATGGTATTTTTCTATCCAAACACGACAAACAAAGCTCTAGTTTAAGCAATCCTCCTGGAATTTGGAAGTATATGCAAGCAGCCTCAAGCCGGAGGAACTTGCAGAAGTTGATAGGTGTCGACACACCAGCAAGAAATCAAAAATATGACTGTGAAAGTTGTAGAGACAATAAAACTCTTTTCAAAAATACATAGATTTGTTGCGTTGAGGATAATTGACAAACACAGATAGCGATTCATATTTAAAAAAACATTGCTATCTTTTTGCCTACCATGAAGTTCATCTTTGGACAAATATTTGCAATCAGATCTGAATCGGTTGTCCTTCTAAGAGAGTAGAAAGTACATTTTTGAATAGGAACAGTTTATACAGTTTATACGAGTTGGCGTGCATTTTCTTCTAATGTTCACACAAATCCTCAACGCAAATGAAAAAGTTTCAACACACGGTTTGGTTTAACACAGTTCAACTATTGTGATATCGGTTTATCTGCTGGAATGTTATTGAAACTTTCGATTTATGACATTTCTTATCGAATCTTCTACATCCTTGAATCATTTTTTGAGCGTTTTCCTCCATACAAACAACATAATGAGCACCAAATCGTTTAATCTCACAATAAGCTATTTTTATTTCACGAATTCAATTCATAATACGAAAAACAATAAATGATTAAATGATGATTTTGATTTAATTTCACTTATATGTAAATGTTCCATATTGTATCAACATAAACACTGCGAATGTAAAACAATAATCGTCACGATTCAGTCTATCAACTGGAAGATATGAATTTTCGTTATTTAATTTAGTGATTATTTAAAGCATAATACTGAACGAGTTCTTGATAACAAGATGTATGTTTCGTGTAGAATTGTCAGTTCAAGTAAAAAAGTGAGTTCGTTTTTTTCTATTGCACGAAAACTGTCAGGCTCCAAATCTCTCCCGGAAAATGCAATTTGTTGTCCAAGTACTGATATTATAATTCCTCAAGTAACTCTGCAAGAAATAGTGTACTCCAAAATAGAACATTTCCACAAACATATAGCAACGGTAAGTGACGAAACTACAAAAGATAATATTTCCAAAACAATTAAAATTACCAAATGAATATACTGTAGAATTTGGACAGGTTATAAAACTATGCTTCGAAAACAAAGCATTGTTATGTAGGCAACGATTATAGAGGTCAATATAATTCTTCGATACCATTTTTATAGTGCAATTTATCTCCAGCCTCAAAGTTAGGAATGACTATAAATCATATGTATTTAATACCGTCATGAATTCACTTCTTAGATGATCTTGGTTCTCTTCCAGGAAGACGTAATCACCGGAAAAAAATATACATTTGAGCAAGTGAGAACAAAAGCGAGAAATCTAAGCAAAGCTTTGAGAAAAAGACTGAACCTGCAGAGAGGAGATGTTGTTGCAATTCTTTTACCAAACACACCTGAATACATAGTTTCGAGTCTAGGTATACTGGAAGCAGGTTTGGTTATAACGAGTTGTAATCCTATTTACACCCAGAGTAAGTACTTTTTATTTTTCATTTGAAATTGCTCGTACCAGATCGTAGAGAACTGGCATGAAAAAATCAGAGCAGCATCATACAAAAAGGATTTGAAGCTTTATGAACTTCTACTTCTACATGTGAGCGCTTTCGTTTTATCTTCTTGTTTGTTCTTTTATACGGCTAGGACGCATTAGTGCAGGTATTTATCCCCTCCTGTCATCAGTATGTCTTTTTAAATTTGCCGAACACGAAAATAACACAAAAATTAAACAGCTATGAAAAAGAAAACACCTAAACGGAGGGTACAGCATACAATGTTCGTACTGCAACAAATTCTATATAGGCCAAACCATGAAAAAACTGATCCAAAGGAACGACGAGCACAAAAAAGCATTCAAAAACCCAATAACATATAAATCAAACCTCCCAACACACGCCATACAAAACAAACATAACTTTCCCCCAGCAGAAAACATCAAACTCATAAAACAAGTCAATAAAGGAAACTGTATGGACATCTGGGAAAACATCCATTAATTCAAAAGTCATAATACACTTTTCGAGGAACAAATACAAATCAAAATAGAACAAGACCATTCAATATAGGTACTACACATTTCTATAAACATTCAACCTAGAGAAACACCAATACAAAAGTTATTATCTGATATAACGCAAATACAGGCAAATTTAGAGAGACTTACAGGAGGGGACAGATACCTGCACTAAGACGATCTAACCGTATAAAAAAACAAACAAGAAGATAAAACGTTCAGTTTGAGTACACTTGTTGAATAACACCAGAGAGCTAATTTAATCAAATCATCTCATGGTATTTGGTTGTCATTAGGAGACTCTATGACACGAAAAACCTTCAGATCATCAGCAAATAATAGAATTCCACTATCAATATTTAATCCTATGTCGTTAATGAACAGAGAAAGGAAGCTAGGTTGCTTCGCTGTGGAGTACCACTACTACTAGCACTGTATTCACCAGATTTGTGTCCTCTGGATTCAACAAATGAGCAAGTGTCCTTATGCGCTTTTCATATTAAAAATTTGTAGACAGAATTGAACTGTTGTAGTTTGATTGCGATAATTTTCATTTCTAATTCAAAGACCAAAAGAAAATTCGACCTTTCAGAAGAAGTCTAGCGAACTCCAAAATTTTCTACTGTGAACTATAGTTTTGAAAATAAAAAATTTGTTGAATGTCCGTCGAAGACCTTTGACTGTGTTTCTCATAACTTCCCACCAATATAACACGAAGCACGTTACATACTTCAGTGAACAATGTTCTGAATTATCAACGGTGGAGTATGGGGTTCCTCAGGGCTCGGTACTGGGTCCGTTACTGTTCTTGACCCTGTGGCTGAGCACTGAGTTGGTCCTCTTCGCTAATGACACGAAACAAATGTCTCCATAATTGGTTCAAAGAAAAAAACTGGGAGACACAGCTGAAGGTCTTTACATCCTTATGCTCCTACTTTTTTAAATTTTCTTGAGCCTTCCTAACAGCTGGGAGAAAAAATTGTCATTTCAGGAGGGAGAAACTTTACCTCTAGGAGGAATATGTTTCGAAGAACTGGTAAACACGGAGATAGATATGCCAGACATCGAATTTGGAAGTACAAATGATTTGGCCTTTTTGCCGTATTCCAGTGGAACGACGGGTCTTCCAAAAGGCGTTGAACTGACTCACAACAATCTCGTATCCATGAACGCACAAGCCATACATCCAGACTATCAGCTTTTCGACACACCATCAGGTAATATGAATCTTGATCTTGTTATTAATTGAATTCAATATACATTTTTTTAGAAACCTTTCAAGACATTATTCCTGGGGTCCTGCCGATGTTTCATATCTATGGGTTTACGATATTGGCACTGAATGGGCTGGTCAATGGATCTAAACTACTAACAATCCCGAGATTCCAACCTGATTTGTTCATTTCTATGATGAAACATCACAAAGTAACTGTAGTGTATGCCGCACCACCTTTAGGTAAATATTGTCCCACTATTTATATTGTAGCGGATATATAGTAAACTAGTGTATTAAAAAATACGTAATAGAGGCAGAATTGAACGCCAATCAAAATGGTGTGTCACTTGACACCCCTTCCAATTTAAGATTCTAAGGGTAACATCAACCCCCACTTGGAAATGTCCCCCTTGACTATAAAATTGGCCTGTTTTTTTTTGATTCCTCATATTACTTACTGAAAGGAAGATATAGAGGGTGGGAAGTTTTAAAACTAACACCCTGTATGTAAAATCTTAAGGTTGTCTGAACAAATCATATGCAGAAAGTCAACTGAAGCAGACATATGCTTTTTCCACCAAATTGACATTTCTCAATCTCCCTATAAAGGAAATCAACTTGTTTCTTTGGTCCTCCTTTCATATCATTGGTACCTATTCATTTTTAGCACTATTTATGGCCCAACACGAAGACATCAAATCTGAATATTTCAGTAAATTGAAATTTTTGATGTCTGGAGCTGCTCCTCTTGGAAGTATGGATGAGGAAAGGCTGCAAAATAAACTTGGGAAGGACGTCCCCATTCTTCAGGGTAAGTCGAACAGAAATGAACTGATAATTTCAAAATAAAGCAATACTTTTTGGTCCTGACTATCGGGCCCATCGTCAAACTTTGCTTATAAGATATTAGACTGTATTTATACTTATCAAACTGTTCTGCGGAAATATTTCTCTAACAAAGGTACATTTCATAATCGTAACACAAAGATTTCTGGTGGAATTTATCGACTTGTGTTAGGTTGGCAACAGTGCACTGAGATGTTACCGTTTAAAGTATACTCGTGATAACGGAAAGTATTTCGACCTTCTTTATACAAATTTGAATCATAAAAGTATTCATCTACTTAGAATTATATGTGATCGTATTCGAGAATAATTTTCAATGAGATGAAGATCCCCTACAATCGTATGCGAGATATATTTTGAAGTCAAGGGCGTTAGAATGGCCTGTGAGATCTTCGGGTTCTTCATCAGCAGACTTGAAATTTAAATGTTTCATTTGGGTTGAATTGTAGAACAGTCACGTGCAGAGGCTCCACAATTATTGAGAGATGTGAAAAGTTATTCAATACTCCACTCACACGTCTGCAAAAGCAACTTTAACTTTTTTCGGAGATGAAGAAGTAGCGAGTTTTAGCTGTATCACACTGTATAATGTTCTAGGATACGGAATGACGGAAAGTAGCGGTATAGTAACTATATGTGCTTCGAAGATATTGATGAAGTCGATGAAAGATCTCCGAGGGTCTGTGGGAAAACCAGTGCCAAACACATTTATTAAGGTAGTTGGAGTGGATGATACAACAGGTAATAGTTCTTCTACACCTACTCTATTTTAAAGAGGTACGTTTCACAGGTGAGCAACTTGGACCTAATGAACCTGGAGAAATATGGATCAAAGGCCCACAAATCATGAGAGGTTATTTCAAAAAACCTAAAGAAACAGAAGCAGCTTTGAAAAATGGTTGGCTGAAAAGTGGTGACATTGGGTACTACAATGAGAAAAAACTGTTGTTCATCACTGACAGGCTCAAGGAACTCATCAAGGTGAACATCAATTGAACACCATGTTGCTAAATATTTCATTGGAGTTGAGAATGTCGATGACAAGACACATATTGGAAATTCAAATGTATTCCCCATTATGTACTAGTTCTGAAAAAACTTGCGTTTATACCTCAAATCAAGTTACTTGTATGAATAGTAGTGGATATAAAACAGAACCCTGAGGCAGTTTTTCCAGAAGACGTGTTTGGATCATTCACATGAATAATCTATGATCTTCCTCACGGAACAAGTTTGGATTACTTTTATTTTTCTTATGTTGGCTACTCTGTTCATTTGTCATGTGTCAGTTGTCACGTTATTTGTTCATGCCACCATTACCATATTAAGAACAAAAATTGGAGAATGTAGTGATAACAGCGATTAAAACTTTGAAATGGATAATATAGCCATCAACTAATTATAAAAACTGACACTTTAAGCAAATAAACAGGGTAGCCAACACAGAAAAAATGTGCTACAAATGAAATCATCTGATATTGTTCCAAAGCTTTTTTGGTATTTATTAAACATTGTAGATGTACCTACTATTCCAGGTCAAAGGATTCCAAGTAGCTCCGGCGGAATTGGAAGGAATCTTGAGAGAATTTCCAGCTGTCAAAGAGGCTGCCGTCGTGGGAGTCCCCCATCCCGTATTAGGAGAAGCTCCCAAGGCTTACATAGTACCAAAAAGTAACATGTCGTTGGACCCAGAAGAATTGCACCGTTTCGTGGCAGAAAGGGTAGCCAAATATAAACAACTTACTGGAGGTATCGAATTCGTTGAATCTATTCCGAAAAACCCTTCGGGCAAAATACTGAGACGGCTTTTAAACAAAAGTTGAAATGTAGCTTCAACCACGGTGTGAATAATGTGTGAAGCTCAATAAATTACCTTCGGTCATAGGTGAATATTTTGTTTTATCACTTGTTGAATGGAATAATTGACCGATACTTGAAGGAAATCGGTATCAAAACTTACCAATAAAATTTATTTTGATTTTCACTATGGCCGGTCACGTGTTTGGTCGTTCAATAGCTTTCTCTAGCAAAATTCTGCCACGGTTTTGTAAACCTATAATGGAAAATCAAAATAAATCTTAGTGGTAAGTTTTTTAGTACAAATACATATTTTCTCATCATCCCATGTTACTATTGGTGTATACTAAATATCCTATAGTGTAAATCAATACCTTTTCAATGTCTGATACCTTACCAATACGTTTTAATGAAAATACTTAGTAAGTTTCTATCAATAAATAGGAATACATGTTTTTTTTATTAGCCCTTGACAATTATTTACTCAATACTTTGCCAAAAATATCTTACCAATACCATATGCCTTACCAAAAAATTAATATCTTACCATTAATATGAAATAGTTTACATTACCTGTTATCTTATCAATATCTTATGGTGAGAATCAAAATAAATCTTATTAGGCAGTTTTTATTAATCAGTAGAAATAAATATTTTTTCATTACTATTGCTATTTACTCAATACTTTATAGTGTAAATTAGTCTTTCTCAAAGTAGGCGATAACGCCCCCTTGTGGGTACTGGAGGCCTGTAGGGGGGCAGTAAAGGGCACAGAGAAGATTGGGGGGCGTTGAAGCTGTTTAGGAGGGCGATGGCTAATGTTTTTTTGCTCTTAACACAAACTTTACCGCTCCTTTATGCTTATCGCGCGTTTCCTCGTGTAACGCCATCTAGGGGATAAGACAGTAACCATTTCCTGTCCCATAATTGTCAAACTGTACAATAGATGGCGGTAAGCTTCAATGCGAAGCGAGAAGTTTCTAGTCTCCATTCTCGAAAGTACTAGGCCCGCCCGCTGCCTCATACAAAAGCGCGCGCGCCATCCAGCCAGTAATGTCATTCGACGATATTACATAATACATTCAGATGAAAAAGACTTATTTTCAAGAACTGGGTAACAAAAACACTAGCTCAGCCAACTGTGTCAAAACTTTTTTCAGCAGTTTCTAAGCAAGTCGACGACGGACTCTGAGCTTCCTACAATATCTCCTTGCTAATTGCTCAAACAGGTGAACCTCACTCTATTGGAGAGGATTTAATTTCACCGGCAATAAAAGAAGTAATAGCTACTGTGCTCCATAAACAAAAAATTTGAGTGAACGCCTCTCTCAATCACTGCAATATATAGCAGTCAATAAAATCCGAAACAGCTCTTTAAGTGACAGATTATTTTATCAGCCTTGTGTTGCTAATGATGAAGATTTCAACCGATTGCTATTTCACACAGAAGTGCGTTGGTTATCAAGAGGTATCTGTCTGACTCGATTTTACAATCTATTTGACTCGTTAATAGAGTTCTTGGAAAACGAAGACAAAGAATTGCACGACAACCTCATCACTTCAAAGAATGATATTGCGTACTTGACAGATCTTCACTTAGAGGTGACGACTTTAATTTGATTCAAACAAAAAATGTCATTGCTGCTCTTATACAAGAATAATATCGGCAGACGTGAGTTTCGCAATTTCCCTAATTTGTTAGCAGTATCCTTCAACAACGACGACTTGCTTGTTTACTGCCAACATTTGGAGAACCTCTACAGTGATTTCTCAGAACGATATTCAAATTTCGCGCGCTACATTAGCTCGCGATTTTTTTATGTTGGTGCACTTGTCTCGAACATATGTTCACGCTATCAACTGTTTAGCATGTTTAGTTCATTGGTGAGAGGCAAGAAAGTTAGAAATATTTTGCGTGTTCAGCGATTTTCTGTCAAAAAATATTGATCAAAAAATTTGTGTCAAATTTTGTCAAAAAATGGATGAGTAACTAAATATTTTTTGAGATAAATGAAAATTCACCCTATTTTTTTGAAGACCTCGTTCAGCTCAGTTTTGAGAATATTTGTAACCATATTCATAGAGACTTAACATTCAGGATTCACTAATAAAACATCCGACTGCTTTTCGAAATTATTTACTGAAAGGTACAAAACATTTATGAACATCTCAAACATTAATTTTTGCTATAATAACTTCAAATAAAAAGTATATCCTAGCAGTACATACATGTGTATAAAAAAAAGTTCAATTGAATCCTTGCGAACGGCATCATAATATAAAGTATGTAAAAAGTGCTAGCGACTTTCAAAAGCACTCTCAATTAATTAATTTTTATCGTGCAAGATAACTGGGACTTTCATAGTACGATTTTTCTGATAGTACGGACATTCAGAAAGTTGAACTGAAGATACAGGATACTTCAACTTTTTGACGAATGTATTTATTCTCCATTTGGAAATGGAGAACATTTCCACTTCCAGGTGTTCGATGGAAACACCCTGTATAACTTACAATGCTGTCTAAAATGTCATAAGACAGACCGACTATATTTTCCCAAAATTTTTGGGAATGAATGAAAAATTTAAAGGAACCACAATATTACAATAATATTCACCAAGAACTGTCTAATAAAACATACAGTCAAGGGAGAATTAGTAAAAAACACCAAAATTAGGTTCTGAAGTCATAATTCAATAAATCAGTCTAAATTTTTTGTGATGTCTGAAAAACTATCATCAGACAAATTTGGCACACCCTGTACATAATTTCACTTCATCCATGAATTCACACTGTAACTGCCATTCCTATGATTCGTCTCGAAAGTTAGATCATAATTGGACATCATAAAATCAAAGATTTGACATGATTAAATGGTGAGAGTCATAATTGAAAATTATGCCCTAATTTAGTGTCATAAAATCAAAGATATGACAGTAGAAGAGATGATAGTCATAATTGAAAGTTATGTTCAAATTTACTGTCATAAAATCAAAGATATGACATAATCAAAAGGTGAGAGCCATAATTGTAAGATGGATCATAATTTGGCATCATAAAATCGAAGATTTGACATAATTAAATGGTGAGTCATAATTGAAAATTATGCCCTAATTTAGTGTCATAAAATCAAAGATATGACAGTAAAAGAGACGAGAGTCATAATTGAAAATTATGTTCAAATTTAGTGTCATAAAATCAAAGATATGACATAATCAAAAGGTGAGAGCCATAATTGTTAGTTAGATCATAATTTAGCATCATAAAATCAATGTTTTGACATAATTAAATGGCGAGAGTCATAACTGAAAATTATGACCTAATCAATCAATATGACCTTATCAAGAGATGAGGGTGACAATTGAAAGTTATGTCCTAATCTAGTGTCATAAAATCAAAGGTATGACATACTGGAGAGATGAGTCATAATTAGTCTATAATAAGATTTAAAGAAGTTGTAAATATAAGTTGTGGATTCCAATTAAGAGATATAATTGTAATTAGGATTTGAAAAAGTTATAATTACAAGTGGTGGGTCCCAATTAAGAGATATAATTTCAATTGGGATTTTAAAAAGTTGTAATTACAAGTTGTAGATCCCAATTAAGAGATAGAATTATAATAAGATTTAAAGAAGTTGTAAATATAAGTTGTGGATTCCAATTAAGAGATATAATTGAAATAAGAATTTGAAAAATTCGTAATTACAAGTTGTGGGTACCAATTAAGAGATATAATTTTAATTGGGATTTAAAAAAGTTGTAATTACAAGTTGTAGATCCCAATTAAGAGATAGAATCATAATAAGATTTAAAGAAGTTGTAAATATAAGTTGTGGATTCCAATTATAAGAGATATAATTTTAATTGGGATTTAAAAAAGTTGTAATTATAAGTTGTAGGTCCCAATTAAGCTAGGTGGAAAACAGCTGGAACTCAGATGATGGAATGGTATTCATATAAATGACTCTGAAGTGTCAAAGACATGTTTGCAAAGCTTCTAAAAAGCGATATTGTATACAGAGTGCTCCAAAAATATACACTTTGAAAAACGAATATTTTGTTGCTGTTCCTTTCGTTACGAAGCGAATTCAAAACTCAAGACGATGCCAATTTGATTACTAAAAACGAAAACTAACCGACACGTCGCCTAAAACTACTTATATACACCCTATCAAATAGTAGCCTACTGTTACATCTAAAGTACCACAAATGGATGTTTCCGATGTCACTCGCACGAGCGTCCAGTCAAAGAAACGACTTGCATCATCACAGATTAATTTCCCTCCACAAACATCGAACTTCATCGTCTCGTCACCGACCGATTGGAGAATCTGGTGCAGGCTTTTTTCCAGCGGCACTGGGTGCACCACAAACCCTTGTACTCGACGCCATACACCTTGCGGCACTTGCGTCCCTCCTTTTTCGCTTTCTTGGTAGACGAGATTTTCGTAGAGTTCAGGCTGGGGTACTCTTTCTTCCACTCTTCTTTGCTGTCTTCCGAGTCGTAGTTCTTCTCCTCGCACCCAAAGCACCTGCCGTTCTTTTCGGGGCTCCTGAGGCGACAGTCGAGGCATTTTTTGAAGGTCGGTTCCGGAGAGAGGGAGTTTTCTTCGCTGCTTGAAGGCTGCGGAGATTCCAACTCGGGGATCTGGTCGTGTTTGGGACTGTCCTCGAAAGAACTCGACAGGTCCCAGGTGGATGATAGCTTCGGAAACGGGTTGAAGCTAAAGAATAAATTCGGATGGTCATTGTGAAGTAATTGTCAGAAAGAAGAATGTGATGGTGAAAGTAAAGGTTGGTCCGTAAGTACTTGGCACTGCAGCAGGTAAGTCATTGAAGTATATCAAGAATATTAATGGACCCAGTACCGAGCCCTGAGGAACCCCATAAGTCTCATTGGTAGGAAGTTATGAGCTGTAATAGTTCTTCATAAAATACATACAGATTGCATATTTGACATGGAATGGCTTACTGGGAAGTACGCTCTAGAGATTAATTTCAATTGATTTATGTATTTCAAAATGTGCTTAAAAACCACTGCTTTTTATCAGAAATATTTGTATCTGGATTCAGACAACATAAATGAAGATTTCATTTAGGGTACACATCTTTTTCTATGTTGGCAAGATTGTGCATTTGTTATTAGTGTCAGCCGTCAATGTCCTTGATGTTTATGAACCCATTTTTGAGTTTTATTCCCTGTTTAAAATCCCTTTTCATTGTACATATTTCATCATCCACATGAATAAGGATTTTATTTGGATCAAATGTATTTTTTTCTGAGTTGGCTACTCCGTGTTCATATCATCAGTGTCAGCTGTGATGTTCATAAGTGCATTTTTGAGTTTTATTTGCTGTTTGAAAGTCGTTTTCATTGTACTTATTTCATCATCTACATCAATAAGGATTTTGTTTGGAGCACATGTATTTTTTCTGAGNTATTTGTCATTAGTGTCAGGTGTCATATGTCGTTGATGTTTGTTTATAAGTCCATTTTTTTTGCTTTATTTGCTCTTTGAAAGTCATTTTTACTGTATTGATTTCATCATCAATAAGGTTTTTTTGGAGCACATGTATTTTCTTCTATGTTAGCTAGTCTGTGTATTTGTCATTAGTGTCAGCTGTCATATGTCGTTGATGTTTATAAGTCCATTTTTTGTTTTATTTGCTCTTTGAAAGTCGTTGTTACTGTATTGATTTCATCATTAATAAGGTTTTTTTGGAGCACATGGATTTTCTTCTATGTTAGCTAGTCTGTGTATTTGTCATTAGTGTCAGCTGTCGTATATCGTTGATGTTTATAAGTCCTTTTTGGAGTTTTATTCGCTTTCAAAGTTTATTTTCATTATACTGATTTTATCATCCACAACAATAAAGATTTTGTTTGAATCATATATTTTTTCTGTGTTGGCTACTCTGTGTATATGTCATGAGTGTCAGTTGTCATATGTCGTTGATGTTTATATTGTCCAATTTGTGTTATATTTACGTGACAACTGACAATGACATTAAATACACAGATTAGCCAACTGAGAAAAAAATACATATGGTTCAAATGAACTACTGATGGCCTCTAGTACTGTAAACATTGAAATGGGTCCTTGAACAACTTTCATTCATTCAACGATTAATTTCCTTCTAAGAATCATTAAACAATACTCACATTTCAACATCAGTTTCTTCGCAATCGACATCATGCCCATCGAAATCTGGTCTGTCCTTATAAAATGAATCAACATCTTCTTCTATTATCAGCTTCATTATTTTCCTTTCATTTTCCTCGACGCCATTCAAGTGATCATTCAGTTCCATATCACTGTCTCCGTACAAGTCGCAGAGGAGGTTTTCGTTTTTGAACAACTTCATTATATTGAAATCTTTTTTATCTTCGGGTTTTTGAACAACTGAAAGGGAAGAATCGAAGATAACGACTGAAATTTCCAAAGGGGGCATATCAAAGCGTACTACCTGTATTTGCAGGGGGTATAATTTTTTCCAAGTCAACTTGATCATCGTCTTCAGTTTTCTTTTCCTCGCAATAGCTCTTTATTTTAGTTTCCGTATCTAGAGAAGTCGATATGAAAGCGGAGAAGGTCCTGAAGTTTTCTATACATTTTTCACAAATTAGGGGATTTTCAGTTAGGTTCAAAGTCTGAAACAATATACACTTGTAGAATTTTTGCAATAAATTTTATTTGAGACGCGTTTTGCCAAACGGTAGCTTTATCAGTTGAACTGGTAGCTTTATCAGCAGTCCAACTATTGACATGGATAGTGAAACAATGTATTATTTTAGTTCATGGACAGATCAGCACATATATAAATACACAACATAAACACTCTAAGCTTAACATTGCTCAACATATAGCTAAACATATAGAATAGTGATCTAATCAGTTCTTCCGAAACAGCTTTCTACTGGTAGCTCTTAAATTGAAATCAAATTGTGAATCATCGGATTGGTACCCAACTATGTATCTGTATAAGTGTGTGTGTGTGTGTGTGTATATGGTATCCTGGGTGTTCATCCATTCGTCTTTGATACTGTCACGACGTTTCGCCAATATTGCACTTGCCGTATTCATGTGCTCTGCTTGGCAGCTGAGTTGAACTTCCTGAGCCCAAACTATGATGCCTCTGGTTCCAATTTTGTCATTAGATACTTTTATTACGATGCTATAGTATAGGCAATACTATAGATAAAAAAAAGAACGTCCACGCACAGATTCCAAATATAAAATTAAGATTATTTGGGAAGTTTGGGATACTGTATTTTGTAATCTATCCAGAAACCGGATAGTTCAATTCAAACTACACTGAAAATCACTCACCAGTTCCGGAATATATATTTTAAACATGTCTTCCAACTCATTGAATTCCACAGTATCTAAAAGTGATGCGTACTCGTTATTTTTTATAAGATCCACGCAAATCCGACATATTTTGAGATCCTCCTCATACTGAGTTAATTCACAAGTGCCTTTTTCTATCCAATACACCATCTTCAGGTCTACTTTGGAGTCTTGTTGGGGAGGGGTAAAGTGCGTTAGGGTTACTTCCGTATTAACGCAGGTGGATTTGAACTGAAAGGCTTTCTGGATTTTCTGTTCGCAGGTACTGCAAATAATTGGGTTCTCGGTAGCTCGCAAACACTAAAAAACATCAGAGACATATGAAACATGTCAAAATACTGAACTTATCTTTTATAAAAGGGCATTTATATAAGAAGAAATATTAGTGGACCGAAAACTATTCCTTGAGAAACTCCCCAGTTCATATCATTTAAACGTCTACTTGATTCAACAATTTGACTACATTAAGATAAATAAGGTGTTGAACCATGTTTTATATTGAGTAAACATAGATAAAAGTACATAACAGGTCAAAGCTTATTGAATGAATGACTGAAAGTACAGAAGATAGTGATAATAAAAATTAGTTTGTCAAAAAAAAGAATATGTAAACCACACATAATATTTAACATCTAACTGAATTACCCAACAAAAATGATCTCTGTTGAACAGTCATTGGATAAAACATACTATTGTTGGTTTTATGGAAAAATGACAATAGCAATGAATATAAATGACACCTCCTCTGTCTTTTGTGTTGAAACTCACCGTATTCATTAATATCGCCTCTAACATATCATGAAGTACACCTTCCAAAGGCTGATAATCATTAGTTGATATCAAACATAACCTGCAGAACATTTTCCCATGTAATTTAGCCTCATCCATTTATTTCTCCTATTTAACAAGCCTGTAATCAAGTGTATACTTAATTACTGAATATTTTTATAGTTTCCGATAAATGTTTTGAAATCTACTTTAGTATATTAATGGATCGCTTCGCAACCCCAACCGCTGAAAACGAAAACTTCCGAAAAAGTGTGGTTATGACTTGGGCTAACGCTGAGCCCGTGTGACAGTTAATTCAGAGTTTTTTGTCAACATCTAACTGAGCCTTGATTGGCTGAGCACTAAATGTACACTCCACAAGACAGATCAAAATATGTGCTTTCAAAGAGATTGAAACATATTTAATTTTAGATCAAAATCGTTTTCATTTTTCTGTAACGTTCTGCTTACATTACCAATAAAAAATGAGTTATTCTTACTTAATATATAGTATCAGCGCAAATACAGACTGTACAACAACATTGATGAAAACTATGCTTGAGAAACTCAGCACTGGCATTTCGAGAAACAACCGCTAGTTGTATAAATCAAGCTCAACAACTAAATAACAACAATAAGGTACAGGCAACTGACCCAAGGCAGATCCTTTGAAAAATGCACAACTTGTTACAATAGTTCCAATATGTTTAACAGATGTCGCATGAAGACGATGCCACTTTCCAAACCGGCCTTTAGCGGGTTTGTTCGTTTAGCAGGTTTGTTCGTTTGTTGATGATAATTGAAAAATGTAATAAAACATTAATTTAACGTTTTTACTGGTTTCTTAGAACATATGGTATATTGTACGCGAAAATAAAAGGGAAGAAATGAAAATTATAACAAATTCACATCATATGCAGCAAATTTAACCTCACCTCAAATAAAGCTTTATGTGTACTTCATTTCCAAGCTATTAATGACTTCTGAGATTTCTTCTATTTGAGAAGTACATATTTGATAATTTTGGCTATCTAGGGAGTCGAGAGAAACAGGAAGACCATTGCATCATTGCAAAAAACGTCAATGAAGACTCAATATAACAATTTTATTTTACTTTTCAATAAAGCTATACAGATAATATTTCACAAATCGACAAAGTATTCAACCTATTTATTTGGCAATTGCCCTTGTATTCACTTTGAAAAAAATACTGGTGATCGTTTTAGTTGTAACACTTATAATTCTTGAAATCCATTTTTCATTTTGATTTTCTTTTGAACAACCTATCAATTAGGTTACGCACAGCGCCATCTGCCTGCGAATAGATCCAGCAATAATGTCGAGAGTTCCGTACAGCGCCATCTGCCGGCGAATAGATTAAGCAGTAATGTATTTTTTGAAAAAATTGGGCCTTTCTAATCTTTTTCAACAGATCTTATATATCAGGGATATTATGTGGTTAATGTACAGATGTTGAACAAATAGTCCTGCGATTTGAAACTTTTTATCAGAACACTCAGAACAATAAGAGATTCATCGCATTTTATTATAAAACAGAAAAATACGATTGATATATCAGTCCAAACGAAGTTGCAGCGAAGTACAAAAAACAACACCACCACGTTGAAAAACCGAAGAGGCCTCTATAGACGTCTTTTGTGAAAATCTGAAAAAAAATGTATAGTAAATATATTGTCTTGATGATTCAAAACTTTGACAAAACCTCGTATGAAAGTACTCGCTATATTTTTGAGAAGGCAAACAAAACAAAAATGGTTTTGAAAAATATTTGTGTGATGTCCTTTTACGGTTTTCTATTAGAGAACACACACATTATTTTTTAGATGAAGAACATTGACCGACTGATGTCAGAAGGGTTGAGAAAATAGCGGGAAAAAAATTGATGCAACAACAGATAACAGATACTGAATGAAGAAATATCAAGGATTTTTCTACAGTGAGAATAAATATTCCCCCCTTCTCAACTTTTGAACGGGAGTAGATATCAAGGTCAGACAAAATTTACGTAAAAAAGTATCATTTTTAGTACTTTTTGATAAGCCAATGGTGTTGCATCAATCGTCGTCGAGATGGCGCCACCAACGGAAATATTGTGTTATGATTACTCCTTCGAAAGGTATTTCAATTCTCTATCCAGTCAGTTCCTGAGTATAAGCGATTTCATAGTCGTTTTAAGAATCTGCCAACAAACTATAAATATGTTTCCAAAAGAAATTATTAAAAGCTCACTCCAGTTGATTCCAATGAAAATTCAAGTTTACGCTGTTGAAAATTGTATCAATACTGGTAGCGCCATCTAGATATCAAAAAAGGAGTGTCTTTCAAATAAAAAGATACTTGTTTTTGTACAAATGTATAATTTCAATTTGAATAAAGTTTGTCGTTGCTGACACTTTGAAGAAGAAAGTATCATTTTTAACATACATTCCTTGAACATTCAAGATTTACTCTCCGACAATAATCAAGTCTGTTTACATATTTTTTCCAACTCTACGAAATGTTCCTGAGGTTATATCGTCGCAAGCACCTATTCTTCTACCCACGAGTTCTGAAATGAATTGCCGTTGTGTATCGTACACTTTGGATGTCACGTATTCAATCAAAAACATCTAGAAGCATCATGTAAGGTGATCTAGTAGGCCCTTCTGGAGTAACACGTTTGCCTGTCTTCCGGCTTTGAAAACTGTCGAACCCGGAAGAGTTTTCAACAAATATGACAATTTTCTTTGCTTTGTCAACATTTTCATCGGTTGCTGATGTGCTGGAGCGTCCAAGGCGATAGTCGTCACATCTTCACGACCTTCTGTGAGAAGCTTGAACTGCTTGTAAACATTTTTCTGATTCAGACTACAATCACCGTATGCAACACCTACACCTTATTTCTTGAACACACCTTGTATAGGTAACCGTGGTCCCTAGGAATGGCCTGCTGCATTACCTGATATGACACCCTCAGATATCTCTGAGGATACGTTACACAACCACTGTTCACTCCAGAGCTCATGGTGTACTCTTTCAAGTACATTTTGTCTGACCCTGATATCTTGCTCGGTTCGAAAGTTATTTAATCTCCTAAATACATATACTCACCATTTTTAGACTCTCGATAGTAAAATGAAATTCAGCTGCAGTTTGAGTAATGGTTTGTGTTTCTTCAGAATCGGCGAATGGCTCCAAAATAGGTCTAGTATCCCCGGCACTCAAGGGACATTCGTCGTCATTGACAGTATTCGCAAAAACAAAGTCTCCCCAGCTGAATTCTCCGAGAGTTTTGTACATCAACGTCATGTAGAAGCAAATGACAACAGGCGCTACGTATTGCAACGTTACTACGCAGAGATAGTAAAATACCGATGCTATCTATAAAAAAAATAGGGGTTGAAAAAAGGAATTTGTTTGTATTCAGACTTTTTTTGAATTCGGTATGTTTCACAATAGATCTGGAATAAGTTTTTTGGTTTTCACTTATGGGGTTATTCAAATTCAAGGTTGAATCAAGTTTCAATTGTAGATTTCTTCCAAAAATCAATGCCATGAAACAGAGGTCTCAGAATAGAGCTTTGCAACCCTCCTAATTCGTCTCAATAGAAATTTATGTCTCACACAGGTTCACTTTCCAAGATCTTAGATTATTGAAGTCAAAGAAGAAACATACAAGATTGACAGCCATGGATACACATAGTTCTCTTTATTTTTCCAAAGTCTAAACTCTCTCGATTTATTCAGTACGCTAGAGGGAAAGCAATGAATTGCTCAGATCAATGTTTCTATGGAGCATATGCGAAAGCAAACGGTAAAAAAAGTTATATTATACCTGCTTTTGCAATTCAATATTCGTTATTCTACCAGCCTCCTTTTTTTGTTTCTCCAACCGATGATACGCCATATCAAGATATGCTTGCAAGTACCACGGCATCAAAATCATTTTGAGAAACATTGTCGCGACTATTGCAATCAGACGAATCGATTCGAATGTTCTCTCTGTTAGTCTGCAACACAAAGGAGAACAATTGACTAAAAAAAATTAGACGCATTGAATCACATTATTAGCATACTCACAGCGGTTCAGATCTGCCAGAAAAAATTCTGACAGTCAAATAATCCCTTGAAATCGGTTTGATCCAGAGAAGCACCAGGATGAATGGAAGAGCGAAAGTTGCATTCAAAAGTAATTGTTTAGTCTTATTCTCTCTGAAATATCTGGAAAATAGAACTCTTGAATACTTCAATTTTCAATTGAAACTCAATAATGCATGCTTACATCTGGAAGTTACAGTTCAAATTCCGAATTTTCACTTTATACAAGTTGGTATTTGAACTGCTCCCTCACAATTCTGAATTGAAAGTTGGAATTCTGACTCAGAACTTGAAATTCTTACCCATAACTTGAAATTCTGACCAAGAACTTGAAATATTGACTCAGAACTTGAAATTCTGACCCAGGACTTGAAATTCTAACCCATAACTTGAAATTCTGACCCAAAACTTGAAATTCTGACCAAGAACTTGGAATTTTTAATCCAGAACTTGACATTCTGACCCAGTACTTGAAATTCTAACCCATAACTTGAAAGTTGACCCAAAACTTGGAATTTTTAATCCAGAACTCGAAATTCAGACCGAGAACTTGATACAGGACTTGATATTCTGACCCATAACTTGAAATTTTTTACTCAGAACTTGAAATTCTGAACCAGGACTTGAAATTCTGACCCATTACTTGAAATTCTGACCCAAAACCTTGAATTTTTAATCCAGAACTTGAAATACTTACTGAAAACTTGAAATTTTGACTCAGAACTTGAAATTCTAACCCATAACTTGAAATTCTGACCCAAAACTTGGAATTTTTAATCCAGAACTTGAAATTCTGACCGAGTATTTCGATTTCGAAGGGAACACCTCAAGTTTAAAATAAGAATGTTTTTGATACATTTCAAACCCTTATTAAGTGGAAATTTCAAGTGGGAATTCCATTTCGAAATTAAAAGTTTGAAGTATCAATTGAAAGTAAAAGTAAATGTAGGAATTCAGATTTTATAGCACTTGTTTGAAATTGGAAGCCTAAGTTTCATCCAGAAAAGTTAAAATTCAGGGTTTTATAAAAGATAATTTAGATTTTATCATATCCTCAACTCCTTCTATAAAATCATGTGAGTTAAAAGCACTGAAACTCAATTGTGAGATTGAGAAAGCTTCAATCTGTTTGGTTCAGCAATTTCATAAACAGGCGAACTCAAGTTTTTGAAAAGATCTTTGTATGATCATATAAATTAGTTTATAGTTGAGAACAGCTGTTAACCTACCTCAGTAAATCCCAATGCATTTTTGCCATCCTCAGACCCGGAAAAGTGAACAGAGCTCCTAAAATGCCACACCAAACCGCTATGAAGAATTTTAAAACGATTTTCGATGCTGGTCCGCTGAAAGTAAATGGTATGAATTGTTGCGACTTTCTTTGAGCCACAATTGGAAACAAATGATTTTTTTTCATGATAAAATGAATCGGAACAGTTGATTTTGAATTAAAAAAAAACTAAGATGATATTTTAAAAATAATCTGTGATTTGGATCATTCTGAGTTAGTGATTGGATGAATTGAAGAAGAGACAAATAATGACACTTCAAAATGAAATGAAATGTATTATTTTTGTATAATTCATAATTGAATCAAACTCAAATATTATTTATTCATCTTTATCATTACTTCCATTGTACGTAAAACTATTTTCCTAAACTGTTCCTAATATTCCATATTCCGTAACTCACGTGGAAGATAACCCTTGCTTTTCGAGGAAGGAGGCTGCACTTTGGTTGAAACTGGTGTAAGCACTCTCGAGTCCTACCTCAAGGTTCTTTTCGTCCACAATCATCACCATCATCGCTATCAGTAAATAAATAAATCCCATAACGATACAAGTCGACCTTTCTCCTACCGATTCTTCACCTTTGAAATACTGGAGCGTCAAGCTTAGAAGCAGTTTCCTGAGAAATCGTTAAGGACGTAATATTTTGGTTTGGAAATATATACGTAATGCTTTCTGGCGCTACAGTGTTGCCACAAGGCTGTTTTAACACCTGTTTAATGTACTGAAGGTACACAGCAGTTTCCGTGAAAAGGATACATGGCAAAAAGTATCACCAACAAGGACCATATCATGCTCAAATTGATTTCACCTTTCAATGGAAACCAGCTCTGATAAAGCTGTAAATTAAAAACTTGTTTGAAAAATGATTAATTTGCAGTGTTAATTATCGTTTTAGCTACAAATTACTACATATTGTATAAATCATAAGTGGACACATAAACCGAATATTTAACATTTGCAGGCCCCACATACAAACCTCTGTCGTCACGTATACAATTAACGCGTACACAGAAAAATCAACCAGCCACTGATACTCCAAATAATATCGCAAATGAATAACATCTAAACTTGTTATTTTAACATTATCCAACTTGATATCCAACGAACGGGGAATGTGAAACGTCTCAACCGTACTCTTTCCATTTGCTTGCGTCTTGGAGTTCTTTTTCCCTTTCGATTTGTCTTTGGGAATGTTTGCCAGTTGCCTCAGTTCGCTATCGGTGGGGTAAAGGTATCGAACGAGGCCTGTGGAACACAGGAACCATCTGGCTAATGAGAAATGGGGGCCCAGCTTCTGAATCACACTAATCATAACGAGAGTTATGACCAATTGCGCCCCTAGAAGAGCCTAAAAATAACACAAATTAGAGCTCAATTGACTTCTATGTCTGGTATGCTCACCATAGCGACCCGAAATAGGCAGACAAATTGCTAATTATCTCTTAAAACTCATGGCTTTTGTAAGTAGCTATATTTATAGAATCCAGTAACTAATTTTAAAATTGATCTAACCTAAAAGTGAGTACGACACGTCGAAAGGTCAGCTCAGTTTTCTAACTCTATTGTTGTGACGTTGTATGGATGACTTTGTATGCACCTTAACCTCAAGAAATGGAAAGTATGTTTACCACCAGTTGGAACTGTATACAGATGTATAAACAAACTCTCCAGTTTACCCCCATAAGTTACTGAGAAAGCGGAGACAAATTTGGGTCTCCAAAATTATGAGATAAGTATCTATACACTTTATTACCTCTTTTTTAATAGTACGTTTTCATTAGTGACAAATACTCAAATTCACACAGTAACTTATTAAAGTAAGCTAAACAGTTTTCTTTCTCTATATCTGTACTATTTTTAGTTATTTTTCCAGATTATGAAAGGTGAAAACCCTAGGAAAGGCCACTAAAAAATTTAATATGTTTATAACAAACACATATACAAGGTGTCCTCTCATATCAGTATGTTGCTCCATTCTGCCACTCTCTATCTTTCTTCAAGATGGATAGCCAAGTACGATCCATTTCAAATGAAAAGTGCTTTGATATACATATATCACTATAGTGATGCCTATAGTTTATGCCCTCTTTCTGGCATATGGTTTATTGCGTGATTATTTTCACCCTATTCCATTCCACGAATGCTCACCCATGTCACTGAGAATTTTATTCTGGATATTCATTGTAAAGCTGCAGATATGCTTGCTTGAATTTCGCAAAAATTTCATAAGTGAAATAGCTGCTACAAATGCCGCAAAGAAGTAGAAATATTTGAACTTCATTGCGAGTCGTTTGAATTATGGATTCATAGAACATATTTCATTACATTTCCTTTGGAAGATTCCCATAATATTTTGTATAATGATGGAAAAGTAGATATCCAAAACCAAATCATCCTAAGAATGCTTGGGATGATTATTTGCAACTTTTTTACATACGTCCTTGGAAACTATTGAAAGTTTCAATGAAAATGGGATGAATTAATCTTTCAAACACAGGAGTTCTTTTAAAAAACACGAATTTTCAAATATTTATGCTAATCAATAGCACCAAAGATTGGGTATTTAACTGATCAGGAACTGAGCCATCCTTTTGTCGTGTATAATCGGAACAGGTTCAATTGAGTGAGTAGATTTTTGATTGGTGGTTTGACTGACAATCGAGTATAATCCACCAATCACCAATCTACCTGGTTCTTCGCTTAAAATTAAGGTCAATTTACACGTAAAGTCTATCAACTTTTCTCCTTGAAAACTAAATTTCACGGTTCTGGACGTCGTTACATCGAACTCCTAATTTTTTACCGTACTGGACACTTGAATAGTTTTAAATAAACTTTGATGAATGATACCTGTGAAAGCAATCAACATTCCTTGACGGCAGCCAAAAAGTGACAGTTTTCAAATAGCGATTACATATTTCAACACATTTTCTTTGGAAGATTCCCATAATATTGTGTATAATGATGGAAAAGTAGATATCCAAAACCAAATCATCCTAAGAATGCTTTGGATGATCATTTGCAACTTTTTTACATACGTCATTGGAAACTATTGAAAGTTTCAATAAAAATGGGTTGAATTATTTTTTCAAACACAGGAGTTCTTTTAAAAAACACGAATTTTCAAATATGCTAATTAATAGCACCAAAGATTGGGTATTTGACTGACCAGGAACTGAGCCATCCTTTTGTCGTGTATAATCGGAACTGGTTCAATTGAGTGAGTAGATTTTTGATTGGTGGATTGATTGACAATTGAGTATAATCCACCAATCACCAATCTACCTAGTTCTTCGCTTAAAATTAAGGTCGATTTACACGTATAAGTCTATCAACTTTTCTCCTTGAAAACCAAATTTTACGGTTCTGGACGTCGTTACATCGAACTCCTAATTTTTTACCGTACTGGACACCTGAATAGTTTTAAATAAACTTTGATGAATGATACCTGTGAAAGCAATCAACATTCCTTGACGGTAGCCAAAAAGTGACAGTTTTCAAATAGCGATCATCCTTTACCGGCTGTAAGAGATCCAATATTTTCATTTTAATTAGTCAATTCAGCATTTATTTAATCCGTAGAACAACAACCAAGTGTGCAATTAAGATAAGATGTGACTTATCTGAATAAGCTGGAATTCACGAAATATCGGCGGAACGTGGAAACTCAAGTGAGGTTAAAAATGTCGTTGAGGGCTATCAAATACGAAAATAATTCCTTGGAAATACTGGATCAGTTGCTGTTGCCCGCTCAGTCCAAGTACATACAGGTGAAGGGCGTCGAAGATGGTTGGAAGGTCATAAATAAGATGCAAGTGAGTCGTTTCCATGCTTTGACTTCCGAAACGTAACTTTTCCTTCGTTTCTAAGGTCAGGGGGGCCCCGGCGATCGCCATCGTGGGCTGCCTCAGTTTGGCCGTGGAAATCCGCAACGAAAAGTACGAGAGCAAGAAACAGATGCGTCAGGAAATCGAAGGAAAGCTGAACTACTTGGTTTCGTCCAGACCGACAGCTGTTAACATGAAAATTGCTGCCGAAGACCTGATCGATCTGGCTAATGAGCTCAGCAAAGATCCCAATGTCAGTCTTGATGACATGAAAACAAAGTAAGTAGATGCATTCATGTTATATGTTAAAGTCTCTGACAGAGTACAGTCTATTAAATAACTCTTGATGTGACCAGTTCGTAACAACGTCAGGTGTGCCACAGGGCAGTATTTCAGGCCTTTTGCTTTTCTCTCTTTCCATCAATAATCTTCTGTAATTGATATCTGTCAACATCGATGAAAATTCACTCTTTATAATTATTAGTTATATGACATTGTAAGCATTTCAGATGTGCTTAGCTTTCACACTTTTACATATAAATACCTTTGAGGCGTTTGTAAAGATTTTCACCAATTCTCATACCTCTCATTATTTTTTTGAATGCCATGTTTTACTTCATTGCTAAAAAACTTTGTACAGAATAATATGTGGGATAAAAACTTGAGGAAGCTCTTGAAATAATACTTAAAGGTTGCAAGAATTGTAACATTGGTCCTTCGAGCCGGATCCTAAACAGAGACTTATGGATCTACAGTCCATAGGTGGTTGGGTCAGATCCGGCTTGGAGAACCGATGTTACAATTGTTGAATACATTTTCAAAGAATTGTCACATAGTATATTTCAGGATAGATTATCGAAGTGAATCAGATATCATTCATAGTTACATAACTCTTTCATTTATTATATTGTGTAGCGATCCTTTGAATGATATTTGATTCAATCCATAACGAAAGTTTTGAGTACAAAGTGGATACAAAAACGTAATTTTCTTATAATTCAATATTCATTTGAAACCAGTTGTTTTGAAAGTATATTATTTCCTTTAACGTAATTCAGTGTTTATATGGAAGTAGTTGTTTTGGGTAGTTAAAAGTAACTTCTATATAAGCCTTACAGAAAATTTTTCCTTTTTTCTTGTCGCATTTTTTGTATGGCATTCAATCAAAAGAGATCCCAGTCGAAATTAGTATCTTAATTTATAAAAACCGTAGAAGAACCTTCTCCCCCACTTGGATTAGTGTTTCCAAGCTTTCAAGATTTTCATGTGTGTAATATACAACTGATGGTATGAGGCTAAAACTTATTCAATGATTTCTCTATAATTTCAGCAGAAGAACAAACTGGATAAAGTTTGCAAGAATTTACACATTGTTCTTTGGGGCGGGTTCTTACCCGGGGCTTTTTTGTTCTACAGTCCATAGGTCTCTGGTCATAGTCTATACAGTCCATAGCTGTATGTGCATATGACCTTCGCATGATTCACATGCTAATTTACAAGTTTTCGTCACTAGAAGTTATGTTCTCATTACATTTGCACCATATAGCCGTCAAGTTGTTATCAAAAAATCAAAACAACTACGCCACTGGTTGATTTGGGTTCACAGTTTGCAAAAAATCAAACCAGATGGATGGAAGAAATAGGGACATAAAAACAAGGTTTCGTTTTGTACTGAACACTTGTACATACAATGTATAAAAATAACAATCATTACTACACGATTTCCAATAAAATATTAAAAAAAAACAGGCAACAAGGCATAATTTTTCTTGATGAAATAGAACATCCCATGGAAATTGTGCTTTACATATTTTGTATGTTACATTTTTGTACTGATCTCACAGTTTTACTTGATGAACTTGTCTGTTACATTCATTCTTTTTACGTTCACTCATCTTGAGTTATTTCATTAGTTTTATGTTATTTTTACCTACACACTATACAGAGATAATATTTCGTCAAGGCTCATGTAATTGTGGACCAATAAAATACATTTGATTGTTGGAAAAGCAACCTTCGTCACTTATTGGGAAATTGGGAATTCCAGGTTCCTACAAACTATAGAAGACATGTTGGCGAAAGACATTGCGGATAATAAAGCCATTGGTGATAACGGTGCCAAGGAAATATTATCGAATGTTTCAGGTGATAGTCTAGTTAGAATATTGACCCATTGCAACACTGGGTCTTTAGCAACTGCGAATTATGGCACTGCCTTGGGTGTTATTCGAACTTTATATGACATGAAGAGATTGGGTGAGTTTTGCTTTTTTAATGTCGGTATTTTTTGTGTGTTCTTTGTGTTATATATGTTTGGGAATTGAAGATTTCCGGCCATCTGATGGAGATAAACTCGAAAGTATGAAACATTAGTTGAGAGAAAAACAGATTTATATACGAAACTCATCAAGAAACCAAATTGAAAATAGGTATTTGAAACAAATTATAGACCTACACTTTTTTTTCGTCCATTGCCAGCAAATTATACAATTTTTTTGGGGTCCATTGCCAGCAGTATAATGCATTTTTTGGGTTCATTGCCAGAAAATTAGAGATATACAATTTTTTGGGTCCATTGCCAGCAAATTATAAAACTGTAATTTTTTTGGGTCCCTAGCCAGGAAAATATACCCTTTTTTGGTGTTTTATTGTTAGCAAATTATGGATTTACAATTTTTTTGGGTTCATTGCCAGCAAATTATAAAACCACAACTTTTTGGGTTCATTTGCAGCAAATTATGGACCTTCACTTTTTTTTCGTCATTGCCAGCAAATTATACAATTTTTTTTGGGTCCATTGCCAGAAGTATAATGCATTTTAAGGAGTTTATTTTTATCTTCCGTCAACAGGGTAATCTTAGATTTCCGCCTTGTCATCATATGATGAAACGTTTTTTTGAATTCCAATGCTGATATTCCTCAAGTTCAAGTAAAAACCATGTCATTCCAAGTCATAACACAAAATGTTTGTTTTTCAACTAATTTCCACTGATTAGATCCATATATTTGGAGCTTCATGGATAAATAAAATTCTATATCTGTTAGTAAATTTGTAAAGTCATCAAATTATAACTAACAATTGTAGAGAATGACTGCTTATTTAGAATGACAGACCAAAGAAAATGCAGACATAGTACAACAAAGTCAATAACAGAAGTTCTCAATTGTAATGTAAACAAATGTATGAGGTCATCCAAACAGATAACTTGCCTCTTGTACCCTTTATCTGTTTTTGTTTTCATTGAGTCATTTAGGAAACACTAAGGTGATGATCTTGTTATATCTTATACAGGGAGGTGCAATGATAAAGATAGATATTTAATCTGAGTTGATATACAAAAGTGCTTATAGTCAATTAAAAAAATGTACACTGCCATCAAATTTAAGAAATTACACCTTCTGTATTTGAGATTTGCAAGATACTCCCCAGAAAGGAATTCCACACCTTTAATGCGACTCAGTAAGTGAGAAATAAGGCGATTTATCGGCAGACAAACCAAGATCCTTATTAGTTATTCTCACTGCAAAACAACCTGAAGCTAGCTTTTTATTGAGGGTTACAATGGGATCGGCGAATTAAGTTTGAATTTACCCAACGGTAGGTTTTGTATTTTGTTTGGTAACTAGTTTTGGTAATTTTAGAACGAGGCTGGATATAAGTGCTTTGGTTTTCTTGAAACCCAGACGGCTGAACAAGAACTCCTGAAATGCAATTTTAAAAATTCCCAGTAGTCTATAATGAACCCCTATTGAGCCTACTGTAATTCAGTTACTGAAACAAAACAAATTCTGTTGTAGAGCACGTCTATTGTACCGAAACAAGGCCCTACAATCAAGGAGCTCGTCTAACAGCTTATGAACTTGTTCACGATAAAATTCCGGCTACGCTGATTGTAGATAGTATGGTAGCAGCCCTAATGAAGCATAGGAACATCACTGCTGTCGTGGTTGGAGCCGACAGGGTAAGATTTCGATTCTAGAGTAGCTCTAGATACAAAGATTTTTTTCTTCCAGTTGACTTCATGTCCCACCTTTATGTCACATTTATTATACTGAATAGTTCAGATGGAAAAGCTCAGATCAATTAACTAGTTTTTTCAGCCTACTAATAGATTTTTATGTGTACAGGGGGTTCCAAAAGTATGGCAAACTCAACTGTGTTTCTATGAATCAGAACACCCTGTATATTCACCCATTTTTGTACTCTTCTCAAGCAGATTCTTGTTTGATTCTCAGGTGGCTGCTAATGGAGATACTGCCAACAAGATTGGGACATATCAGATCGCCGTTCTTGCAAAATATCACGGAGTGCCTTTTTACGTAGCAGCACCGTTCACTTCGATTGATATGAAAGTCCCCAGTGGGGATCATATTGTTATCGAGGAACGTCCTGATAGAGAAATGACCCATGTCGGGGAGCACAGGATTGCGGCCAAAGGTGGGTTTTTGTTTTTATTTGGTCGGAAGTAGATGCGAATCAAGAATCGCGAAGGGAACGTTTCATTTTCGTATAGTACTTGAAATTATCTTTTCAAAGTCGTATCACAAGTGGTAGTTTGATTTGGAAACGGCGGCGTATCAGCCATTTTTGCAAATCCAAGATGGCGTCGATTTCGCGGCAACTCTGAAACTTTTAGTGGATAACAAGAGAAGAAAATTGATCACGTGGTCATGAGATCTTTGAGAATTTAAGTCTATCACCACTTCAAAATATATTTTAGTTTGTGTTTTGGAATGTCAGTTTTTGTTGTAAAAATTTCGAAATTGAAGTAGAAATTCTCAATTTTCAATATTTCGACTTGAAGTTTTAGTATTTTGACTTTGAATTCAAAATTTCAACTTCCAACGTGAAATTTTGAATTATCAAGTTGAAATTACATCTTTATAGTTGTAAAAATTTCGAAATTGAAGTAGAAATTCTCAATTTTCAATATTTCGACTTGAA